TTTCTATTAGGTTATCCCTTGGAGTTGAACTTCAGTGAGACCACCAATCCAGAGACTCCAGTCTTGAATTTTGGGGTGGGGGGAAGTATGTTTACGAAGTTTGTTGCAGTAAAATTATAGACTTTGAGAGCTGAAAAGTTACCAGAAAAAAAAAGTTGGGCACTGATGTAGGAGTACCAGCTTTTGATTCTGCCAATTATGTCATCAAAAAAGTACTATCATCAATTAGTTTACTGGCACCATTCATTTCACAACAAAGTATCGTTTGGGGGTGGTGGTGGACTGAAAATTCTCTGTCGGGTTCAGTGTGAACTACAGTTGAAAGTCAGACTGGGCAACTTAGTGAGGCTGTCTCAGAGTAAAAATCAGCCAGGCGCACAGCTAAGGAGGAGGTTTGCCTAGCATTCTCGAGGTCCTGGAGCCACTGTCTACTACCACCAAAAAAAGCACTTTGTGTGCGTGTGTGTGTGTTTACAAAGAGGTTTATCATGGGAAAGGTGAAACTGAGACAGTGGGAGAGCTTAGAAGAGTGAGAATAGAGCGGGGGAGACAGAGGATCAGTAGGACAGATAGAGGAACAGGCAGAAAAAGCGATTAAGAGACACCAAACAGCTGATGTCCATTAGAAGCCGCTGTCACATACCTCGACCCTGTTGCTTGGGTACTTGACAGAGGTCTCATTCACATTTCATCCTGGACTGATTCCTGTTCAGTCTATGTACCCTTAGATCAGGAGTGGGCGGCCGGAAGGGAAGGTCCAGCTCAGCATTTATTTATTAACAGGCTCACTATGTACCCCAGCTGGCCTCTTTCAATCCCCCTGCTTCCACTTCCCTAGGATTACAGGGATGTACCTCCAGGCCTCGACATCCAACACTTTTTGGGATGTCTCACAGACTAAGTAACTGTATCTAAGGCTTGGGAGGTGGAGGCAGGCAGTTCACCTTGATCTGCTATCCTGACCTACTTGGTTCCAGGCTAGCTAGGGCTACCTAGAGAGACCCCGTCACAAACAAACCGAACCAAGAGCTTGTAAATAGTCGCAATTTTATTTTTAAGATTTATTTTATGTGGATGGGTATCTTGCCTGTATGCACATATATGTTCACCTTGTGCATGCTTGATGTCATGGATCCCCTGGAACTGGAGTTACAGACAGTTGTGAGCTGTCATGTGGGTGCTGGGAATTGAACCCAGGTCCTCTAGAGGAGCAGCCAGTGCTCTTAGTTGCTGAGCCATCTCTTAGGCCCAATAATTGCAAATTTTATGATTGTAGATTAAGATTATTAGAAGTAAGGCTGGGGAGGTAGCTCAGTTTGTAGAGTACCTGCGTAGCAATTGTGAAGCCCTGGGTAAGACCTCTAGCACTAGCCAGGGCTGATGGTGCACTCCTCTAATCTCAGGACTCTGGGAGGCAGAGGCAGGTGGATCTCTGTGAGTTTGAGGCTAGCCTGGTCTACAAAGCAAGTCCAGGGCAGCCAAGGATACACAGAGAAACCCTGTCTCAAAACAAACAAACAAAAAAAGATCTCCAGCATTGACTATACTTTGGCCTGTGGTGAGTGCATACAATGGTAAATGCCTATGCCAGTACTCTGGAGGCAGATGCAGGAAGATAAGAAGTTCAAGGTCCTTCTCAGCTACACAGTAGAGGCTAACCTGGGAGAGATAAATATACATGAGAGACCTCATCTTAAAACCCCAAACAAAATTCTCAGGAATACAAATTCCATATAATAAAGTTATATTGGAAAATGACCATGTTCACGTCATTTGCTGGGGCTGCTTTTGTATTGCAATGGTAGCACTGAAGATGGGGGGGGAGGCCTTACAGCCACCCAAGCCTAAAATAGTTACTGCCTGCCTCTTCAAGAATAGGTAGGAGATAGGGTTAGCCTAGCATGATATCGCATGCCTGTAATCCCAGCACTCAGGGGGTGGTAGCAGGAAGGTTAGGAGTTCTGGCCATGGGTCTACTCAAGACCCCATCTCACAAAAAATAAAAACCAGCAAAACTCCAGGGGGGGAAAACCTCAAAAAACGAAAGAAGAGCTTCTAAATCATTAGGTCTAGGGCGGGACCCGGAAATCTGCACATCCAAGTTCCCAAGTGACGCCAACGAAGCTGTTGGGGTATGTTCTGTGTGTGCATGTGGAGGAAGTGAGTATGTCACAGCCTTCTGTGTTAGTCAGATACACCTGTGGCGTTGGTTCTCTGCCTCCACCTTTCCATGTGCTGGGGATTTAACTCAGGTGGCCAGGCTTGCGGGGCAAGCATGTGAGGCTGCCAAACCAGCCCGCCAGCCCTGTGATTGCTCCTGGTAGTTTCATGCCACAGCCTTGGCTGCTTCTCTTTCACGTTTATTTTATTTATGTTTGGCTTGTGTGCTCTCACTGTGACCGTAGGGGTCAGAAGACAGCCTGAGTTGGTTATCTCCTTCCACCATTTGAGTCCCAGTCATCTAACCCAGGTCCTCAGGCTCTAAGGCAATTTCTCCTGCCCTAAGCCATCTCACCAGTCCTTTTTTATTTTAATGTGATACAGGAAGATTGGGCCTAGTACTTTGTGGATGCTGGGCATGAAAGCAAAAAGCACTCTAGCACTGAACCATAGCGCAGACCTGTCGCTCCGTGACTTGGGATTTCCGGCCTTTGAGACAAGCCTGGCCTCTGCTCCATCTCCTACCTGTACATTCTCTATATACCCTAAACCACTGGTGATCTAGAGTATTGACTCAACTGGAACTAAGTCTTCAGGTTGGCTTACATTAAGAGTCTACTTTGCAGAGAAAATAAACACTGGGAAAGGAGGCACTTATAAGACGACATTTAGTAAAAAGAGCCAGTGACGAGGGAACAGCAAATGTAGGGGCCTGAGCAGACACATTCATGGGGTGAATATGGCAGGAGAGGAGTGAAGGGAAGCAGTGTGGAAGGGCCAGATCCTTCGGGCCATTACAATGACTGCTTTTAATTCAAGTGAGATAAGCCACCAGGGTTTAGGATAATGACTATGTATGATCTTATGTATGATCAGGCTCATTGTAGATGCACAGGGGCAGACTTAGCAAGGGTTGAAACTAAGAGACTAATTACAAGCATTCCATAATTAAAACAATAAATTTAAAAAAAAAGCAGACTGTAGTTTACATCAAGGTGGATGTTATGGAGATGATGCAAAGTGTATTGTTTTGGATTCAGATTTTGAAAGTGAGATGGACTGACTTACTGGATATGGGGAAGCAGGACTCAGGTGGCAGAGTAAAAACCTTGATTTTGGAATGTCTATTAGACACCCACCCTGTTGGGCGCATTCTGGGCAGCTGGAGACAGGATTTTGCGGTAAGAGTCCAACAAACTACACATCTGGGAGGTCTGAGTCTAGGTCAACTGATGATAGTAGTGTTCATGCTGAAAAAGACTACATTCTACAAACTTCTCATCCTCCTGCCCCTCTATCCCTACATATCCCCAAGGCCAGGTCTTCCTTTGTAGATCTGAGGCCGGTCTGACGGAAAGAGGGCTGGGACTCGGGATTTTCACACCCATTCCCTTAAACTTTTCAGTGTTTCATGCTTAAGAGTGTACGGAGCAGAGGTAGTTTCTAATTAGCTTTCCTATTGGGCCAGATGTCCTCTCTATGCCTGTACGATTTAACTATTTATTTTTGGAGAAAAGGTCTCTCTATGTAGCCCTTGTTGTCCTGGGACTCCCTACAGAGACCAGGCTGGCCTCGAACTTTGCCTCCGCCCCACAAAAGTTGGGATTAAAGGCATGCACCACTACACCCGGCTATCTCCACAAAAATTGCTAAAAGTGCACTACAGACAGAAAAGCAACCAATTAATTTACAACTGTTTACATGTTTCTCCATAGGGACCTGTGTGGATCTGGTGGCTCGAGTCGCTTGGAAAACGAAGGCACCCACAAACACTATGAACCCGGAGAAGTGGGAAGAAGTGCTCCAACACAAGGCCCTAAAAACACACTTAGTTCTAATAGGAGCATACACCTCTTCCTGAACCTTCTTCCAGAAGATGCTAGGAGAAGCTTAAGAAGGCTGGGCCCACGGCTGCTGGGAAAGAACTGTCGGTAGTTGGCAGTACTTCACCCAAGGTTGTGGTTACAACTCCCTGGGCAGCAGACATCATGGATTCTGCTGCTTCTGGGAACCAGAGGTTCCTCCATTTCTGGGCTGGATCCCTTCGAGACAAAGAACTTCATTTCTTCCCCAACCCGTGTGGGACCGCCAGGCAGCCCCGAGGGATGGAAGCTTTGACTTCTGCATGCAAAGGGAGCCTGGGGTCGGGGCTGCTCCGGAGGGCGCGCGGGGCTCCCGCGTGGGCCAGGCACGTTGCCAGCTGGCCGGGGAAGGGCCAACCCCACGCAGGCCGGCTCCGCCGAGCGGTCGGTAGGCGACCGCGAGGGGCGGGCGCATCCACCTCCTTCCTTCCTCCAACCCCATCCCCTCGTGCTTCGCTTCCCCGGGGATCCTCCGCCTTCCCCGGCCACCGGCGGCCGCCCTCTCCACCCCCGGCCTGCGCAGCCCACCGTGGGCCGCTCCCGCGTCCTAGCCCCCGTCCGCGACCTCCCCGCGTGGGCCCCCGCGCCCCGGCCCCCTCCCCCTCGTGGCGGCGGGCCCCTTTCACAATAGCGCTACCCGCCTCCCTCCTCCGGGCTCCCGGTTCGCTCCCGCCCGCTGCCCTCTCGGCGCATGCGCGCTCCGGTCGGCGGCGGCGGCGGCGGCGGCTGCGGCGGCTCCGTTTTTTTTTAAAGGGAAACGCCGAGGCGCCGGGGGTGACCGTGGGGGAGGGGGGACCCGGAGCGGCGGAGACCCCCGGGGGAGGCGGCAGACCTCCCCCCTCTCCCGGAGTAGGAGGGCTCTGGGCGGACCCGTCCCTCCCACCCCCTCCTGAGGAGGAGCGGGGGGGAAATGGAGGCTCGGGGCGGCTGAGGCGAGCTCCGGGGCGGGGGGCCGGGGCGGGGAAGGGGGGGTGCGGGGTGGGGAGACGAGGCGGGCCCGGCCGGGCCAGGGGGGGCCGAAGCGAGCTCCGGGGATGAGCTCGGGGGCGGCTGGGTGCGAGCTCCTGCCTCTGCGGCGAAGGCGACGGTGGCGGCAGCAGAGGCGGCGGCGAGGCCCCCATGGGTCGGCGGCGGGCCTCAGCCGCGGCCTCCACTCCTCCGCTCGCCGGCGGGATGGCGCCGGGGCCTCGGGGAAGAAGCCGCGTTAGCGGAGGCCTGCGGCCGCTCTGCTGAGGCGAGCCCGCCAAACTCCCCTCCCCCTCCTCCGTCCTCGACCCCCCGCACCTCGCCCCTTCCCCACCCCCTCCTCCGTCTCGGTCCCCCGCGCCGCTCCGGACCACTATGACCATGAGATCCGCAGTGTTCAAGGCGGCCGCGGCCCCTGCCGGCGGCAACCCCGAGCAGCGACTGGACTACGAGCGGGCTGCGGCGCTGGGCGGGCCCGAGGACGAGTCCGGGGCGGCCGAAGCCCACTTCCTCCCCCGGCATCGTAAGCTCAAGGAGCCGGGGCCCCCGCTGGCCTCCTCCCAGGGCGGGAGCCCCGCGCCCTCTCCAGCCGGCTGCGGCGGCAAGGGCCGGGGCTTGTTACTCCCGGCCGGGGCGGCCCCCGGGCAGCAGGAAGAGAGCTGGGGCGGTTCGGTGCCCTTGCCCTGTCCGCCCCCAGCCACCAAACAAGCCGGCATCGGCGGGGAGCCAGTCGCAGCCGGCGCCGGCTGCAGCCCCCGGCCCAAGTATCAGGCGGTGCTGCCCATTCAGACGGGCTCTCTCGTGGCGGCGGCCAAAGAGCCTACGCCCTGGGCTGGGGACAAGGGTGGGGCGGCTCCCCCAGCTGCCACCGCCTCGGACCCGGCGGGACCCCCACCACTACCTCTGCCCGGGCCGCCACCCCTCGCGCCCACCGCCACGGCCGGGACCCTGGCGGCCAGCGAGGGCAGATGGAAGAGTATGAGGAAGAGCCCTCTCGGGGGTGGCGGCGGCTCGGGAGCCTCCAGCCAGGCCGCCTGCCTCAAACAGATCCTTCTGCTGCAATTGGACCTCATCGAACAGCAGCAGCAGCAGTTGCAGGCCAAGGAAAAGGAGATCGAGGAGCTCAAGTCCGAGAGAGACACGGTACGGGAGGGGTTAATCTGCATTAGGGACGGAGAGGGAGCTGTGCGCATGCTCGGGGGAAGGGGGCTGTAGGAGGCTGAGGTCCCGGCTTGCTTAGGGTTAGAGGAAGTTGGCCGCCAGGGAAGGAGTGCCTTAGATCTTGGGTCGTTGGGTGCCCGGCTCACTGACACGTTGGGTCGGAGGGAAGGGTTAAAGGGCAGCCTTCAGTGTGTGTGTGTGTGTGGTGAATGGGAGGCTGTGGTGTCCAAAGGGTTAATTTAAAATGACAGTCCCAGACTTGTGAGAAAAAAAACGTTTGGAGTGGGAAAAGACCTGACTTTAGGAGGGGTTAAAAAATGATAGGGCGGAGTGCAGATGTGCTGGTTGTATGAAAGGTGCTAAGTTAAAGCGCTGTTGCGTTAGAAATGCATTGTGGAGGTGAGGGACATGACAGCTGTTGCTCTAACCACTGCTGCAGCATCTTGAGACAGAAGGGTTGTCCTAGGTCTCTTAGCCGGTAGAGGGTGAAGACGGTTTACATGGACTCCTGTTTTAGCTTTCCTAAATGAGAGTCCCTGCCTGTGATTTCAGATAGTTTTTTAGTAGGAATCTGAGTTATAAAACACTGCCCACCGACCAGGTCCCTTCAGTAAGCTGGCCGATTTTGAGACATGAGCTTATTCGATGTTTTTGGTGAATCCTTCCACCTCCCAAACCCGTTTTAGACTCTTGAGATGTAGAGAGGTCGTTTATCTCTTTGTACTTCTGAGGAACATGACTACAGAGGCTTGTTTCCACTGCAGCAGCAGCCTTAGACACCTCTGTGTTAAGCATACCCCCTCACACATCAGGTGGGGTATTACCGTGCGAACATACCTCTCAGCTGCCTAAAAATAAGCATGGCTTCTACAGTCATGCTCAGGCTGCAGCTCTCTTTCTCACTCTCTTTCCCTGCCTCTCTCCCTCTGGTGCTGTGTGTGCCAAAGGCTGAGCATGGGAGCTGAAGAGCTATTCATTTTGTTTGTTTTCTAAGGGAATCGCCATCAGGTAACTGTTTGATTGGAGACTGCATTCTGCAAGGTGGAATGGGAACTGGGGCAGGTCTTGTTGAAACACCTCAGTGTTGATTTGTGGAAGTTACTCAACATGGAGGTGGCAGTGCTCAGTACTGTACTGCAGTCCAGGGGTGTGCTGGTACTGTAATTACAACACATCATATCCTTCCTTCCATGGGAAGGGGGTGGGAAGAGAAAGACCAGGAGAGGAGAAGAAATGAAGACTGTCACCCAAAAACATGGTTAAGTAATGCTAAGGCTGTGAATCAAAACAGAAGATGAGATGAGAGAATGGCTGACAAGGGGGACCCTGCTGGTTTTGGAGGTTTCTGCTGAGTTCCTGAGGTACTGCCCCCTTCATAGGCTTTTCAAGGTAGGAAACAGTGGGGTGAGTTAAGGATAAGCATCAGTCTAAACTTGGCATTCACTGCTTCTGTAATGCACTGCAGTCTTAGCATTGCTTAAGCCTGTTCCTCTTATTCCAGGTAGTGTTTGGCCTTTACTGAAATCTGTGTAATAGACGTGATGAAGGCAACATTAATATCACTGTGTAACCCAGGCAAAATTCCTGTAGTGTGATAGAAGCAGCACAGTTGATATCTTTTTGTCAAGACCGAGTTAATACAAAGTTTTTGATGGCAACAGACATCCATTTCTGTTTGACTTTTGTGGTTCTCTTTAATTAGAATTAATGTAATTTTAGTAAATATTTAGATAGGTTATTTTCCTGTTATCGTAAATGTAAAGTAGAATATATATATATGTATACACACACATAGATATTTCCTATGTGTTGGGATTATTTACTGATGTGTATTGTAATTCTTTCCAGTGTAGTATGTTTCAGAGGTGCTCCCTCAAATATGCACACATCACGTTTTGATGTAATACTGCTGCTATCCCTAGTGAGATTCTGTGAGACTCCTTTTTACTGTGCTGTTTGAACGTTCCATTGTATCTAGAGTTCTGGAGTGAACATAGAGCAGATAGAATTTGGACAGCCTTAGGACACCTTAAAAGAACACTGGGCTGAGAATGTAGCTCAGTGGTGTTCAGAGTGCTTGCCAAGAACACTCATGAGGCCCTGGTTCTATCCCTAGCACCGCATACAACAGTGAGGAACATACATAAGGTTAAATTTAGGGACTCCCAAATGACTTGGGCCACGTGGCTAGCTATAGCAGAGGCCTGGTCATTAAAAGGCACACTGGCCCTGCCCAGCGGGGAGGATCTTCTTTCAGAGGAATGAATTTCTAATTGCCCCATCCCTGTTACCATCCAAACTAACTCCTGGAATTAAGTGTCTTTTGCCTTTATTGGATTTAAGGAAAGCTGTTCAGATTTGTGCCTGCCAATTCAAAGTTGAATTGGTAGGGTCCACAGCAACAAGCAGAAAACTTCTGATTCCCAACTGGGGCTAAGTGGCCCAGTTTTAACTTTTGTGTTTAAGTCTGCGTCTTGTCACTTTCTTTTAGCTCCTTGCTCGGATTGAACGAATGGAAAGGCGGATGCAGCTGGTAAAGAGGGATAACGAGAAAGAAAGGCACAAGCTGTTTCAGGGCTATGAAACTGAAGAGAGAGAGGAAACAGAGTTGTCTGAGAAAATTAAACTGGAGCGCCAGCCGGAGCTTTGTGAGACATCCCAGGCTCTGCCTTCCAAGCCTTTCTCATGTGGTCGGAGTGGAAAGGGACACAAAAGGTGTGCTGCTAACTTTATTATCTGAACAAGATGAGGAGCTGTCCCTGATGACTGAGAATGTGGGGTTGGGATTTGTGATTGGCCGCCTAGCAATCATAGCCTGAATTGAGAAGTCTGCTGTACTAGGGACATGGTGGATCAGCCCTGTATAATCACAGAACTTAGGATACTGAGGCAAGAGGCTTGTTCTGAGTTCAAGGTCAGCCTGGGCAACAGAGAAACTGTTTTGTTTTGTTTTTTTTTTAAGTTTCTGTGTTGAGAAATTGTCTTGAAACACTTCTTGTCACACTGCTAAGTACAGAATACAGAGTATATCTTAAAGAATTTAGTAGGCAGTAGAACATTCTTAGATATTCTTGAGCATATATTTTCAAACATGACACTTGCCGCCCATGTCTTGAAAATGCGCAGTAGATGTTTAGGCACCTGGATACTTCTTTTGTCCTCAAATATATTCTAATCACATTTTATTCAAAAGTCAATTAATTTTATAACATTCTCTTTCCTACCTAATAGGAAAACCCCATTTGGAAATACAGAAAGAAAGACTCCTGTTAAAAAGCTGGCTCCTGAATTTTCAAAAGTCAAAACAAAAACTCCTAAGCACTCTCCCATTAAAGAGGAACCCTGTGGTTCCATATCAGAAACTGTTTGTAAACGTGAATTGAGGAGCCAAGAAACCCCAGAAAAGCCCCGGTCTTCAGTGGATACCCCACCAAGACTCTCTACTCCCCAAAAGGGATCCAGCGCCCACCCTAAGGAGAAAGCCTTCTCAAGTGAGATGGAAGATTTGCCGTACCTTTCCACCACAGAAATGTATTTGTGTCGTTGGCACCAGCCTCCCCCATCACCGTTACCATTACGGGAACCCTCTCCAAAGAAGGAGGAGACTGTAGCAAGTAAGGCATAGAGAACACTTGCTCTTATACCCTAGTGGTGGCGGTCAAGCTAACAAGTGTGAAATGCCTTTGGCATTTTTTAAAAAGTGCAATCAATAAAGCAGAGTTCTGTCAAGAATGAGTAAGTTAACAGCCAGAGACAGACACTGTGCAGGCATTGCAAATAGATGGAATTACAGCAAAATGTGCTCAATGTATGTGTCTGCTTACAACACTGGGAGATGTGTTTGCCAGTAAGTTGCTCATCACAAGAGCACCAGACTTGGGGGGTGTAATCTCCGGCAACTTGCATGCCCTCTGAAATAAGGGTTTTCTGTGCTGTGAAATGCATAGAACTTACACTTTGCCGTGCACGACTGTTCCTGCAATTGATATTGTGTGAAACCTGGGAGGGTGGTCTTTGGGTGTTCTCAGGGGCCAATGGTAAATTTTGGTTGGGGAGCCAGCTTGGGGTGGGGAATTTCACCTGGGCCTCCGCTCTCTTAACTTCATAAACATTTATCTGTATCTCTATGTCCCGGTCTGGGGGCAGGAGGAATCTGCCAAAGACCAACAGTCTTACTTTACCTTACACTTCACAAGGTTCTAAGATGTGAAGAGTTTACTTGGATTGCAGTAGCCCATTGGTTGTTCATATATTTAAATAAAATGGTCTACAAACTATTTTTCAAACAATAAGGACTATCTTGGGATATCTGAGCTGCTTGGAGAGGGTGTGGGGTGCGGGAACTTGGTCTTTATTCCTGTTGGTTTCTTAATGGCTTCCACAGAGATGATCCCCATCTTCTATACGAACCAGTAACTGTTATTAATGTGCCTTCAATTGTGTTTTATTAGTCTATGACAGTCATTGTGGGTGCTCTTGGGTAATGGTGGGGAAAGCTTCCTTAGGTTGAGGCCTAAGTTTCTACCCCTGTGCCTTCCTCTAGCAGGGATGGGGATGGGAATCCATTCCAATAAGATGTGAACATTCTCCAGGCTTTGTTTGGCTGTTGTGACAAATCTAAGTGGGGAAGACAGATAAACGATCTAACCTTTATTAGGCTTTACACTTGAGTACATGAGACAGACCAGGGTCCTGATCTAGATTCAAGTACTTTTTTGTTGTTTCAGTCAGTTGAGCAGGTTCATCTTAATAGTTCATTTCTGCTGCTATAGCAATGCTGTGGGACAAGTTAGGAGAAACCATGAAGCAACTTCCCATCCGGATTTAGGAAATGGCTTGGTCTGGAGTTATTCTGTGTGACTGGCTGGTTTTGAAAACACTGTCTACTCTAGTAGAGCAAGTTCCAAACACATCTGAGATTGTGGGCATAACAGTATGAGGGAGTGTGACTGGGAGATCCCAGTCTCTTGAGGAGCCGGAGTTCTGCATAAGTGTGTGAATCCTTACTTGATGATACTCCTGTCTCAAGAGGAAGTCTCAATGACTTATTCTAAGGAAGCCAAAGTCTTTGTGCATGTTGTTCAGTCTGGACCAGCAAGGTAGTTTGTTTGGAGGGAGGAGGAAACTGTTTAAGAAGACTACATATGTAAGTTCTGAGAACACTGATCTATTTATTTGAAAAATAGGGTCAACTTTTACTCACCTGCCATGTTCTGAGTTTAAGGTTTGATATCCTTGGCCATCAACTGTTGCAGGGAAACCACCCTAAATAATGAAGAAAAGAAGTCGTCTCAGTGTAAAAAAAAAAGTGGTGGGCTTATTTTCTTTTCTTTTGTCTGTTGTTCCCTCTTCCCCTTCCCCAGAGAGAAATTCTCAAAAGAACAACTCAAAAAACAAAATGGCTTCCTAGTGAGAACATCAGTGATGATCCTTTCCTCCATTTTGGGTATGGGCTTTTTTCTTTTTACACTGAGATGATTCTTCTTTCCTGCATTATTTAGGGTGTCTGATGCCATCAAGTGTTGCAGGAGAAACTTCAGTCTTGGCTGGTGAGTAGATTAGGAAATGCTGGCTGGGCCTGGGGTGGTGAATTGGTGGGATGGTGGCTGGTTGGGAGCTACGTTCTCGTCTGTTGGATGTGGAACAGTAAGATTCCTTAGCATTTGCTGACACTTCTGTAGACATCAAAATGACAACACATTCCAGTTGTTTTTCAGGAACTTCAATAGCATCCATTATATGAATTGTCAGGTATTGATTGGCTTAGGGTTTTTTGTGACCCTGAGTTTGGCAGACTGCAATGGCACTTTTAGGTTCTTTTATATCATAGCGAGGACACTGACTATGGCTTTGGGTGAGGCCATAGAATGGATTCCTATCATTTGGTAACTGTCTTATCTGGGGAAAAACCTCTTGTCCTAGTGAATAGTTGGACAGTTGTGTGACTTTGGATTTAAGGGTGGTTCCACCCCCTCCCCTTTTTCTTTTTCTTCTTTTTTATTTTTTTTCAGTTCCTTCTTGGAGGGACCACTCAGTAGAGCCTCTAAGGGACCCAAATCCTTCAGACATTTTGGAGGTAAGTACTAAGAGCTGTTAAGGGAATAGGAAATAGAATCCAGGGGTATACAACAGGCCATTGTAGTTGCATCTACAGTCCCAGCTACTCAAGGGATTGAGGCAAGAGAGTTACTTGAATTTAGGAGGTTGAGGCTTGTCTAGGCAATGTAGATCTTGTCTCAGAAGGGGGGGGGGGGCTCTTTTCTTATAACTGTGGATGGATTAAAAAGAACTCTTCTAAAGCCAGAAAGGAGCTTGAGGTTATTCAGTCTGTATTTTTCATCTTATGGATGAGAAAAGCCAGATCTAGAGAAGTTAAGTCATTTTTCAAAGTCAGTATTGAGGTGGTGTTCAAACTAAGGTAGATTCCATGCTAAGCATAGAAATTAGGCTGTGCCCTTCAGCACCATAATCTTATGTTTGAAACTTACTTGAGTATTGAAAAAAAAATGGCTATTTGAATTCAGATTCTTACGAAGTATCTAGAGAACAGGAAGAGTTTATGTGCCCTCACAGGTGTTTGACATTTACCCTGAAAGGTTGGGGGAATTAATTTTGAAATTTGGGTTTTTGGAAAGGATGGGGGTAAGGACAGGGAGTGTCTTTTATTGATTCTTTCGCTAAGAGGTTTACAGATCTATAGAACTCGTAGGTGTTTTTAGAACCTGAAGCTGGAAGATTTTATACTCCTGAAAACTGAGTTACTCCAACATGGTCATAAGTAGCTGTCCCTCTGCTCCTCTTCAGAACCTGGATGACAGTGTGTTTTCAAAGAGGCATGCGAAACTGGAGCTGGATGAGAAGAGGAGAAAAAGGTAAGGCCAAGATCCCCATCCCCAAACATCTGAGCCCTAGGACTCTTACTCCCTCTTCCATATTGGGGAGAGCCCTGGGCCACTTGACATTCCTGTGACACTAGTGTCGTAGTTAGCTGAGTGTCTTAGCTGGGGGTGGTTGTCCTTACAGGCACACGTGTTGGCCTTTTCACGGATGCCCTCCCTCAGTACTACTTTCTGTGGAACACCAACACATATTCTAGACTGCTAGACCCAAAGAGTTCTCCTCAACCAGGTAGTCAGTTCCCTTTTCCCGTCTAGAGGGCTTAAACAAGGGTCCGGTAGCCTCTGCAGAGTGCGAACTGTTTCTCTGGGACAGCTTGCAGGTGAGTAGTAACTCTGGGTTTGTCTGTTTTTGTTTGTCTGGTCTTTCCCAGATGGGATATTCAGAGGATCAGGGAACAAAGAATTTTACAGCGACTGCAGCTCAGAATGTATAAAAAGAAAGGAATTCAGGAATCTGAGCCTGAGGTTACCTCATTTTTCCCTGAGCCAGATGACGGTAAGTTGTATCGATCTAAAACTGTAGACTTTGGGGCTGGAGCGATGCAGCTCAGTGGTTAAGAGCACTTTTGTTCTTGGAGGGACCAGAGCTTGGTTTCCAGCACCCATATTGGGCAGCTCAGAACTGCTTGTAACTCCAGTTACAAGGGACCCGATGCCCTTTTCTAACCTCAGAGGGCACCACCAGTCACATGTACAAACTCACTCACAGAGACACATAAGCACATAAAATAAACAATTTACTTTTCGAGGGGACAAAGAAAGGGTGCAGCTCACCACAGCACAGCTTATTTTATGAGTGAGCTGTGTTTTGGAGGTAGTATAGTTGTTAGACATGTCTTACCTCTTGCTAACAAGGTCTATTTGATTTTCTTCCATAGTTGAAAGTTTGATGATTACCCCCTTCTTACCTGTTGTAGCATTTGGACGACCATTACCAAAATTAACTCCACAGTAAGTAAAAAGGATTTTTCCTCTTTTTTTTCAGGTAGTTTGTACCTCCTTTTCAGACTCCATGGAAGCCTAGATAATAATGGGGGTCCACATGGCTTAGGGATAGCCATGATTCTCTATTGACAAGCCAGGAAGTAGAAATGCCTTTTAAATGAGACCTGGATGGCTTTGCTGCTTTCCTGGTGGCTGTATCAGCTAACTGTTACTCGGTGTTGGAGCAGCCTTCCCACTTGGCTGTCCTCATCTTTTCTTTCGCCAGGAACTTTGAGCTACCCTGGTTGGATGAGCGAAGCCGTTGCAGGTTGGAGATCCAGAAGAAGCAAACGCCTCACCGGACGTGTAGAAAGTAGCTGTGCTGTCAAGAGCCTGTCTGCAGATAGTTGTAGCATGCCTTTCCAAGAGAATGGCAGAGACCTGTATATGTGACCTATGTCTTCATGTATGTTATCTTTCACTGGTAATGCCTTTCCATACTCCCTTCATTTTAGTTTTGTTTTCTTTACTCTGATTTCACAAAAAAAAAAAAAAAACAAAAACCAAAAAACAAACAAAAAAAAAGAAACTTTGCATCGGGCTGATTGTGAACTATGGAGTTATTTGGCACTTCTTTTCCCTTTCTGGGGAAATGAGCTCTTGAGCTCATCCTGTAGGATGGTAGATTTGGGAATTTTAGGAGTTACTTTTTACTTGCCTACTTTAAAGGGGTAAAGTGTTCATCATTAGCTGAGTCAAAGATGGAGCAACCCCTGGCTGTAGGAGCTGTGCCTGCCCTGACCCTGCGCTTCCCTGGAGCGCCTTATGAATAGTGTGGGTGTAGTGGATTTTACACTAAAATAAAAAGACCTTACCATGTGCATTGGGGCCCAAGAAGGAATAACATGAAGCGATGAAGCAAGGAAGTCATCCTCATAGAGGAAGAAACTGGATAGTTTGTCAGTTTGTTTGTTAGTTCTCTTAAAACTAACTATTCTGTGATAACAGCCGTGGGAAGAGACGGGTGGCTGGTCACTTTCTTAGCTGATAGGTAACTGAACTTCCTTCCCAACCCCCCAGAAGAAGATGTTTAGAAAAAGAGGTTGGGGTGTAAGTTTCCAGCCAGTGGCAGTGCTGAACTGACGCAGCTGTCATTTGGGGATGGCATGCCAGCATCTGTAGAGATGTCCTTGTGCTGTCTCACTTTCTAAGTATTCCTTAGTGGGGCTTCATCCTATTAGCCAAGCTCTGATGGTAAGGTAGAAATTTGGGGCGGGAGGAGGGTATGGAAGGATGCGTTTCCTGGCTGGCAGATATCTACATCTTGAAACAGTTGTACCTAATGAACTTTATTTGTTTAGTGAAATAGGTTTACACATGTACCATCTTGGTTCCCATCTCTTGCCCTTGTTTTGTTACACCCCCCCCCAAAAAAAATAATAGAAAAGGAAAAAAAAAAAGAAAAAAGAAAAAAAAAATCAGAACAGCACTTCCAGGCCTTTTAGGTCTCAGTGAAAGATCCCTGTTAACTATCTGGAAGGAAAATAGAGCTGAGGCCTTTGGTCTTCTATATAGGAATTGCCTTTCATTAGTCTTCAGGACTATTGTATAAAAACAAGTAGGGGTCTAATCTCCTAGGAGGTAGGGGCTTTATCCTTGAAGAGAATATGTCCCCAGATTATTAGCACTTTTAGAGGAGAAGCCAAGGTATGTAGGGTGTGTGGCTGGCCCATCCGCTGAGCATGAGAGAATGGGGTTACCATTGTGGGGAGAGAAGGAAAGTTCCTCAGGGCCTCCCACTGCTAAAGCTTTTTTGAGATGTTTATCTGTGCTCCCTGGGTTTGACTTTGAAAGGAATTATTCCAGCAGTACATGTAGTATTCTTGGATGATCTTGCTGCTTTTAATTCTCTTTTGTGTGTGTTTGTGTGTGGCTCTGGGTTTCCACTTGTAACTCCATCTTCTTAGGAGCATGGTCTCTCTGTAACGGAAGCTGCTGTAAAGTCACTGCAGCAAGGATGTAGAGACGAGGACTTACTCCATTAGGGGCTTTCATCTCACACCTTGAGGAGGATGATAGATCTAGAAAAATTGGGCCAGATTTTTGTTTTTTATTTTTACTGTGGCAAGCTGGTTAGTGCCCCTCCTCTCACCTGTGTCATGTTTCTTTGCAACGTGCTCCTCCCAAAATAACCTCAATCAGCTCTCTCTCTACTTCGTTTCTCGGTCCCTCTCAGTTTCTTCTCGACAACTACGATTTGTCAGATTCCTAATTTGGGTATGGGTTAGCAGACTTAGCCTCTAGGTCTCTGCCCTACACAGAGGAATCCTCAGATCCTGTTTTTGCTAGACTGAGAGGAATCCATGAGGTGCTATCTGGCAGGACTTAGTGGATTCTATTGCTTTGGTTCTCGTTTCCCTGAGGACCTAATGTTTTCTTATGTCCTCTCCCGGATTTCCTTTGCTTTGAGTCTGTTGAGGTTTGTTGAGAAGGAGGTTGAAGCAAAGCTCCAAGAGTGAAATTACAGTGTGTTCAGAATGTGGGGAAATGAACCTTATTTTTCCCTACATGGGATACAGCACTGTGAAATTCAGTCTTCAACAAAAAGAGAGGCCCTGCAGTTCTCCTAAAACAGTTCCTTATTTCTTTAACAAAGTTTAAGCTAGTGTTAATAAATTAAAAGAGAAATTGCTTGTCTCTCCACCTCAGCTTTGTTTTTTTCCCATTTCATATCGTTGTCTGTGCTGTAATTCATACTTTTGATACCATTTCTGATGTGTAAAGTCGGCTGTCTTGTAAATATCTTATAAAGAGTTCAACTGTAAATAAACTATTGTGGCCGTTAACTTTTGAACTTTTGCCTCAATTTATTAGATTTGTTGGAAAACATTAAATAATTCATATATATGAAAGATTAAGAATCTTATTAACCCAAGTAAAATAGAATAACACATTACTTCCCTCTTTTTTTAAGAACCTCATTCCATTGTGTCAGAGTACAGTAGGTTTCATTCCTTTATTCTGAGCCCATCTTTACACATGACTGGCAAATTACAAGGCTCATTGCGAGACTCAGCCTCTGATAATCATTCCTCCTGGGCAAAAGGTCCAGATCTGCTTGAACCCAATGTCTTCCTACATACATCTGTATGTTTGAAAACCCTCAGTGTAACTGGAATCCGTTGGCTCCCTATTTGTGACTAGAGATGAAAAAAGACCAATCTCTTACTTCCCTCACAGTTCCTCTAATAGGATGTCTGTGGAATCCCAGACCATCTGTTCACGCTAACCACTGACAGTTTCTTACAACTTTCTCAGAAGGACCCTGATCCCAAGCACTCAAACAGCTAGGACAAGTCCCAGGTTCGATGTCAGCCTAGCTTACATAAGACACTGTCTCAAAAACAGAAAGTTGGACTCACCAGGGTATGGCTGTGCACACCTGTAATCCTAGCACCTGCGGAAGCTAAAGCTGGTGGATCCTGAGTGTGAAAACACTAGCCTGAGGTCAGACTCTCTAACAAATATCCCAAACTGGACTCAGACCAAACAACGGACGGACAAAGTGGCAAACTACCCTTTTCCTTATTTAGACACTAAACTTGGCAGTCTTACCGCACCTTTTTAGCTTGTGATGGATGAGATTCTTGGGCTTTTCACACTTACTAAATTATGCATCCTCCATTTTGAATTCAGACGGTTTTGGAGCTGAACTCCATGATACAGTTGGCCACCTGTCTCCAGTTGAGAGAATCAGTCCCTGCAGACATTCGTGGTTCCTTCTAGTCTCATACTGTCTATAAATCTGGTAAGCAGTGAGGTCTTAACTACCAAAACAGCTCAGAATCCCGTTACCTCAGCGATTTGACGCACGTTACCAACATGCACTAATAACTTAGTTCATAGACTACATGTTGCAAGGTAGCTGTGCTGAGGTGCTTTGTACTTCATTGCATTGCCCAGAGCATTTTCTGTCAGGTAACAACACATCAGGTTTCTAATACCTCTAGACTTACGGGGAGGGGGTGGAGAGGGGCATTCTTCCAAAACTGACCTCTAACTATGTAGTCAAGGATGATCCAGCCCTAAGTTTTCAAAGCAGAGTAAGACTAGTGTCCTGCCAACCTACAGTGCTCAAAATGTGGTAACAAGGTTGGGAAGCCACATGGAGAAGGGAGAACTTCAGTATACACGGAAAACAACGCAACACCAAGTTCTGTCTCCACTGCAGACAGTTGCTCCTTTCCCCTCAAATTCAGACTGATGTGAATGAAGAGCTGGCAAATCTGACGCAGGGCTAAAGGCTTTTTCACGTGGATTCGTGATTTTTTTTTTTTTTTTTTTTTGGTACCATGCGAAGGGATACAGTAAAAAGCTCTAAAACTCAGGGCGAAACGAGAAATGGAAAACGAAAATCATGCAACAGCTCCAACGCCGCTCTAACAGGTCGAAGACCTCCCCAAGGAAAAGCCCAAGATGGCCGAGCTAAGCACCCAGAGAGGCCGAAGCGGCCCGATCCCCTCCCCACCCCCCGCGCCCAACGCCCGCCCAGGGGGAATGAAGCGCCGGGCCACGCCCCCTTACGTCACCGACTACGTCACTGGCTCGCCAGAAAACGTGCCGCAGGGCGCAGCCCCCGCCCCGTGGAGAGAGGGGCGGCCCGCCCTGGACGTGGAGCACGCCGGGACTGCTCTCGAGCCTCCCGGCAGCCTCTGCGCCGGGCGTGGTGCGTAAGGAGCTGACCGGCGGTGGCCGTTCTCCGTAAGATGGCGGACCGGCGTCGGCAGCGCGCTTCCCAGGACACTGAAGACGAGGAATCTGGTGCTTCGGGTTCCGACAGCGGCTCCCCGGCGCGGGGCGGCGGCAGCTGCAGCGGGAGCGCCGGAGGCGGCGGCAGTGGCTCGCTGCCCTCTCAGCGCGGCGGCCGCGGCGGGGGCCTCCATCTGCGGCGGGTGGAGAGCGGGGGCGCCAAGAGCGCAGAGGAGTCGGAGTGTGTGAGTGAGCGCCTGCCGGGCGGCGACCCGGCAGGGGGCGGGGTGTCGGCGATGCGGGATGCTGGGCCTCCGGTTAGAGGGAAAGGTTATCCCGCTGAGAATTTGCATCCGCCCAGAGCTCCGGCGGGGGGAAGGACGGGATGCTTTCTCAGCTCCGGGAGTGCAGCACGGAAATTGGGGCTCGGGGTGGAGAGAACCGGTCTTCTTGGTGGGACTTCTGATGATTTGCCTTTCTCCGTATCCCTGTTCAACCGTTTGTGTTGATTCTTCAGTCCTCATTTTTGCGGGTGGGCTCCCCAGGTCTGGAAATCACAGCTCTAACCGTTTGTCATCTTCTTAATCTTAGGAGAGTGAAGATGGCATGGAAGGAGATGGTGAGTGATTCTGCTTTTTCGTGAAATCTTTTGGCCACATATTTTTCCCAGATTGTTAAGGGTTGTCGGGGAGTGGCTCTTTGGGTCATAGCGGTTAGGAGTGTAGTGGTTTTGTTAGGTTCCTTTTTGGAAACTGACAGATTGAGTCCACTGCGGTACCACCTGCCAACCGATTAGGTTTTTTGTCATCGTGATCACAGACTTCTCCGTCTGTAAATGAAAACTAACATTTTGTCAACCTCAGAAGTTTCCTTCGAAATCAGTGAGACTTTTAGCTTGACCCACAGCGAGCAGTCAGAAATGTAGTTATAAACATGTGTGTTGTTTTCCTCCCCCCTTTGACATATTTGTGTTTTCCTTTCAGCTGTTCTTTCCGATTACGAAAGTGCAGAAGATTCAGAAGTGAGTGTGATAGATTCTTTTTCCTTGTGGTGTAAGTGAGAAAATGTCTTCTAAAAACCTACATCTGTATGGAACAAAAATTCCCTGACTTGCTTCTCTGCTTGTACATTCTTCATGTATGCTTTTAGGAGTGTGTTAAAAGCCAGGTAACGGGGGCACGAGCCTTTAACCCGAGCACTTGGGACATCTCTTCAAGCCACAGGTTACACTATTACTTGATTTATTCTTATTTGAAGAAAGCTGGTTTCTGAACCAGAGAATAAGCTACTGAAATCCTTTACAGGGTGTTTAGACAGTCTATACTGTCTAGGTGGACAAGACAGCCACTTGGATAGCCCCCCTCACTCCTGTAATTTGAATACTTAAAAGGGCAGAGATCTGAGAAGTGTGTGCAAAAACACACCCCGTATTTTATAAGTAGGGCTCTCTTGTGTCTTGGGAGTATTTTCCAGGGCAGACATTGTATTGTAAATTTTGTTTTGTTTTGTTTTGATTGAATAAGTAACTGTAGACACTGTCAGAGTAACATTGTCATAGAATTATTTGTTATAGGGTTGTTGAACAGACTCCTGAGTTTTGTATTTTGGAGATGGGGTTATATTCAGGGAGAATTGGACTGTGGGTCAAAGATTTGGTCTATGAACGTGTTTGTTTCATTCGTTAGGTTTTGTGATTTGTTTGTTTTGTGGTGCTGGGGGTTGAACCCAGCGGTCAGTGCATTCAAAAGAAGTGCTCTACGGCTGAGTCTACTACGCCCTTTTCCTATAAAAATCCTCGGGTTTTTTTTTTTTTTTTTTTTTTGTAAACATTTTTATTTATTTTTATGACTATGAATGTTCTGTTTTCACACACACCAGAAGGGGGCACCAGATCTCATTATAGACGGTTATAAGTCACCATGTAGGTTGCTGGGATTTGAACTCAGGACCTTTGTAAGGGCAGTCAGTGCTCTTAACTGCTGAGCCATCTCTCCAGCCCCAATATCCTAGAATTTTGACTCTCTGAGACCGTATTACACCTTGGGAGATGAGAGCATTATTTCAGAATTTTGATTTTAGGAAGTTGCACAGAAGAAAATGATACCCTAGAAAATTGAGGAAATAAACCCTTGTGACACAGAAATAAATTCATCAAAATATAAATTCATCCAAGGGCTGGAGATCTGGCTCAGTTGGTAAAGAGGGCCTGAATTCAATCTTCAGAACCAGTGTGAAAAGCTGGGTGTGATGGTGTGTGTGATTCCAGTGCTGGGGAGGCAGAAGCAGATCTCTGGAGCTTGCTGGCCAACCAGTCTGGCCTTCCTGGTAGCTCCAGACGATGGGGAGACTGTCTTAGAAAATAAGATGAACACCTCTCCTGAGGAAGAGTTCCTCATTCTTGCTTATGTGCACGTTTCTGCACAGACACCAGTCACATTCCAGGATTTAAGAGTCAGTGCCAGGAAGGTTGTTTCAGGTTCAAGGCCATCCTGGGAAATTAATCTTTCTAAGATTTTTTTTTCAAAAAATGTCATGTGTATGCTTGTTTTATATATATGATACATACATATATATGTATCATATATATCATATGTGTATCACATATCATATATACATATAATGTATGTGAGTGGAGGTGGTTGTGAGCTGAACCCAAGTTCTCTGTAAGAGCAACAAGTGCTTTTAACAGCTTAGCCTCCAGCCCCTGGTTGTAAGTTTATAGTGCCTCATGTTTATAAAGGAGTTCGGATGTAATTCTGAGAACAACAAAGGAAACGGTGCAGAACGTTTAAATGCATAGCATCAACTGTGGGTGAGGCAAGACTGTAAAGACCTTTAAAAGTTGCTTAAGAGCTGAGTGGTAGCACACACTTCTAATCCTAGCACCCAGGAGGCAGAGGCAGGTGGATCTCTGAGTTCAAGTCTAGCCTGTTCTACAGAGCCAGTTCCAGGACAGCCAGGGCTACACAGAGAAACCCTGTCTCAAAACTACCACCTCCAAAATAAAGTTTCTTCGGGACTAGGTGTCATAATATACAACTCACTTATAGTACTAGTGCTTGAAGGTAAAGTCAGAAGGATCGAGTTCAAGGCCAGCCCTTCATAGCAAACTGTCTCCAAAAAAGGAGTTAAAAAAAAAAAAGTTTCTTAGGTTAGTCTAAGGAACTTGATGGCAGTTTCCTAGACATAGTAGTGAGACTGGTAAGATGTGGACTGATGTGAGTTTATAAAAACAAGGACTCTATGCCCGCCTCAGGTCCTGAATAATGATGTGGAGACCTGTTATATTTATCAAAAGCTTTAGGCACTATAGCTGGGCAGATACTGAGTTATCCTAACCCTACTCTGCTGGCCTGGCCTACTTCCCAGCCATGTGGCTCATTACCTGCCATCTTAGTCTCACACTAACTGCTCCGTCTCTGTCTGTGTTCCAATAGTGACTCTGCCTTCATTTCCATTCCTCACCTAAGATCCCCTCACTGAGATCAGCAGTCCTGCCTTAACTCTCCTGCCCAGTTATAGGCAGTTCAGCTCTTTATTGACCAATCAGAAGGGGATGGTGATGGAGAACAATGTTTTCACCACATTGAGACATGAAATGCTTCATAAAATGACAGTACCAAAGTCTGGCCTGAGTCAGATCTGCACTGACACAGAAATCAGCATTTGAAGAATAAGAGAAAGTTCTTACACAGTGTACAAAGACATTATCCCAACAGGTTATTTTTGGTGGGACTAATAGAACCCAGCTCTTAAATTAAATTTGGACTTTGAAGGAGTCAGTGTCTAGATTGATTACTGGAGTTAATAACTAAAAAAGAGACCATTGTCAGAAAAGTCAGTGGTGTGGGTTTTAGATGCCTTCTTGGTTTATTTTTGTCATGCTACTGATCCATTTCAGGGCTTTGCCCTGTGAGGGTGGTGCACTAACACTGAGCAACACTCAACCAGGTTTTGGATGTTTTAAGAACAAAGGAACCTATGGAGTTTTCAAGTACTAATGTCTAACACATGATTTCTAATCAGTCTTTCTTTTCCTAGTATTGAAATCAGGTAAAGACATAACAAAAACAACAGACCATTTTCTCAGATGAATGTAAATGCAGAAATTCTCAGCAAAGTACTTGCAAACCAAATTGAGAAACACATTAGAATCATACATCATGCCAGATGGCTTCATCCCAAAGGTGCAGCTTTGATGTTACATGAGTAAGTTGATGAATATAATGCACCTATAAATAAGCTTCAAGGCCAGTGAACTCTTAAAGAGATTAGGTAAAGTATCTCATTCATAATAGAATTCTTGGCCAGATTTATGATTTGTTTCTCTCGCTCTTTTTAGAAGAAGCTTATTATTGCCATGTGTAAGGAAAAAAGTACCAAATATCAGTTTCTACTTGAAATCGATAGAAAAGCAAAGTGAATTTAAGAATGATCACACTTGAAAAAAAGAGAAAAAAGAAATAGAGTTGGTCCAGTGTGGAAAACGCAAGAGGTCTCTCCATCTGGACTCTTGAAGTAGTGTATGGGAGCATAATCTCCTTTCGCAGAGTTGCAGGTGGAGCCAGACTTCATGTCTTTATCCACACATCCGTGAGTTTCTTTGAGACTTGTGGGCAATGACTAAGGAGACAGCCCTGCAGAAAGCAGACCTCTAGAGCACTTGGTCTGCATTTGAGTTAGTTGGGAAAAAGGTGCTTATTTTTCTTTTAGTGCATTAGTAATAAACTATTAAGATTTGTTACTGGGCTGGAGAGATGGCTCAGAGGTTATGAGCACTGGCTGCTCTTCCAAAAGTCCTGAGTTCAGTTCCCAGCAACCACATGATGGCTTACAACCATCTATCATGAGATCTGGTGCCCTCCTGCAGGCACACATGCAGGCAGAATACTGTACACAAAATAAATAGATAAATATAATTAAATTTTTTTTTTTTTATTAAGCCCAGCATGCTGGTACATGACTTTAATTGCAGTACTTGGGAGGCAGAAGCAGGTGGATCTCTGAGTTCAAGGCTAGCCTGGTCTACAGAGCTAGTTCCAGGACAGCCAAGGCTATGCAGAGAAACCCTGTCTTGAAAAGATGGGAGAGGGGGAAAAAAAGACCAAAAAGAAAACACTGCTTTTACAGAGGAGCCTGGTTCTGTTCTCAGCACCCACCTGGCAGCTCACAACCACCTGTAATTCCAGTTCCAGGGGATCTTGTGCTTTCTGATAGCCATAAGTTTCTGCATATATTTGGTGCACTTAACATACATTCAGGCGCACACATATATGCATAGAATAAAGATAAATGGTTTTCTTTCAGGGTTGAAATTCAGAGAGCATAAGAGTGGAAGAGAATAAATAGCATTATCTGTATACATCAAGAAAGTTCTTGTATTTGTCTACTCCATAACCTGGGATTAAGGAAAGTACTGAATGATTACCGACCTCTCGTCCCCAAATGGAGGGAAAGCAATCCTTGCAGAGGATGAAAAGAAGCAAGGGTGCTTGTTAAGATGTAGATAAAGACTAGATTGTCACAGTGCAGGCATTTTGAAGCTTCTTCAGGTCTCCATTACCTCCTGAGACTCCTCACTAAAAACACTTTGAAGACAAATTATCCAGATGCTGAGTAGTTTGGAGTGTAAACACAGAAATGGAAAGAATAGGAAGAGGGATTAATGGCTTATTTGTTTAGGACAATTAGGCAAGCTTAGCTTTATTTGAAGAAAGGACAGAACGTTGAAAGCTTCTAACCTAGTCAAGACTCGTCATGTGGTACCTCTGACCAGATTCCTGGGGCTAGCCTGACCCTGAAGTGAGAGGGCAGTCTGGTTTAGGTTAGGTGCCAGCCACAGTAGGAGAACAAGAGACCAGTCTACACACGAGCATACACACGTACAGGGGTAGAGGGAACACAGTACCAGTAATTCAACCACCTTCCCTTCAGCCCATTTCTTTGCATTCTTATAGCTTTTAACCTCCCTCTTTAGTCTACTGTTTGTCTTCTTAGCACCAAATCTGGAGAGAATGGTTGGGGGGGAGAGTGAGACCTTGTTTTAAAGCCATTGCTTTCCCTGTATGGAGCTATACTTTCATTGCTTGTCCCACTTTAGTGTCCTAAATGATATTTTTCTTACTAACATTCTTTGTCAGGAACTGGATCATTCAAATTTGGTATGTTAAGAGAAGAAGAAGAAAAAAGCCAGGTGTGGCAGCTCTAGCATTTAATCCAGCACCAGGAGGCGAGGCAGGTTTGAGGCCTGCCTGGACTACATAGCAAAGTCCAGGACATCCAAGACTTTGATAAGAAAAAAAAGTGTGGGGGTGTGGGTAATGGTTCAGAAAGAGTACTCAGGCTTGTTTGTTTGGGTCAATTAGGTAAACTTAGCTTTATTTGAAGAAAGGACAAAATATTAAAAGCTAACCTAGTGTGTGATCTGCGCTTGTGGCTCACATAATTCAGTGGATACCGTTTGTCCTGCCTATTTGAGGCCCCGAGCTCAAACCACGGTAAGAAAGGAAAAAAGTGAGTAATGGGGCAGAGTAAATGCACTCCAGGCTCTGGCTTAATCCCTAGCTCCAAAAGAAGGGGGTGAAGCTGATGAGTGATGACTCATTGGATAAGAGTACTTGTCATAAAGCCTGTCAACCCTTTAGTTTCTGGAACCCACATGTGGAAGGAGAGAACTAACTCCCAAAGTGTCCTCTGGCCTCCACACAAGCCATGGAGAACTTTTGTCTTTGTGTTTTCTCAGTCTGGTTATAGAAATCCTGAGAGTTTAAATCCTGGGTTCACAAGAGCTGTATGGAGTGGTTTTAGTTGTAGTTTTTCTTTTGAAATTGAAGTAGGATCTTAATGTGATACCCAAGCTGGCCTTGCTCAAACTCTCAGTCTTCTTGCCTCACCTTCTCGAGTTGCTGAACTGCATAATCGGGAAGATTGTTGATTTCTACTCTGTGACACTTTTCAAAAACAATTGTGTGTATGTGTGTGCATGTGTGTGTGCATGCGCATGTGCACACGTGCTCCCCCAGCACAGGCTTGTGTGTGCCATAGCGTGCGTCTGCAAGTTAGAGGAGTGCACGTAGGTTCTGGGGTTCGAATTCCAGTCCTTGGGCTTGGCAGCAAGCGCACTTACTTGCTCACTGAGCTTTTTTGCTAGTCTCCTAAAACATTGAGATTAGAAAATTCTCAATTTAAGCCAGATTATTCTCATTAAACACTGTGTTTAAGATTTGTAGAAAGGGAAATATAGGCTTATGAAGTTAGCCTTCCAACCCCTTGCTCTTTTCCTCAGACTACAACTATTAACAGTTCCTGACCTGAGCAAGGCCTGGTGGCACACACCTTTAAACCCAGGAATTCTTTACCTCTATATTCCAGAACTGTTTATAAAGACATGCATATTTTGCATGCATGTGTGCATGTCAGAGAAGGAGGAGGAATCTTATAGTGCCCCTGTTCTCTAGAACTTTGGTTATGAATATTGGCTTGGTGTGTGTGTGTGTGTGCGCGTGTGTGCGGCTAAAGATTGATCCCATCCCAGGGCCTTGTTATGCTAGGCAAATACTCCACCATAGAGTTAGCAACCCCAGCCCTTGAAATGCTTGTTGTATGGTGGGGGTGGGGTGGTGTAGGCCAGAGGACAACTTCAGGTGTCATTCCTTAGGAGCTATATCCACTTGTGTTTTGAGACAGGGTCTCTCATGAGGACCAGAGGCTTATCAGTTAAGTCAGGTCAGCTAGCCAACACGGCCCACAACCCGTTGTCTGTGTCTTGACTTCTGGGGTTGCAAATGTGTACCACCATGCCTAGCTTTCTTCATGGGTGCTAGACATAGGTCCTCATACTTTTGTGGCAAGCACTTTTTTATCAACTGCGCTATCTCTCCAGCCCATGGTTTTTGTTTTCATAAGGAAGATCGCACATAGCACAGGTTGGCCTCACTGAATATGTAGCTGGAAATGACCTTGCACATCTGGTCTTCTTGCCTCTACCTCCCAAGTGCTGGGATTATAAGCATGTGCCACTGTACTTCCAGTGCTTGTGGTTAGTTCTAACATTGTAGTAAAAGTCTGTCAGCACATTTTTCTCAAAAGAATGGAAAACAAACATTTACCATTCAGGTCTTATCTCTATAATTAACACCTTTTCAGGGTGAAGAAGAATACAGTGAAGAAGAAAACTCTAAGGTGGAGCTGAAGTCAGAAGCTAATGATGCTGCTGATTCCTCAGCAAAGGAGAAGGGAGAAGAAAAGCCCGAGAGTAAAGGCACTGTGACTGGAGAGCGGCAAAGTGGGGATGGACAGGTCAGTACACAGCATAGCTCTCCGCTGCCATAGGGCCTCTCAACTCCTTGGAAGAGTAAGGAGTTCTTTATCTTCCAGGAGAGCACAGAGCCTGTGGAGAACAAAGTGGGGAAAAAAGGCCCTAAGCATTTGGATGATGATGAAGATCGGAAAAATCCAGCCTATATACCCAGGAAAGGGCTCTTCTTTGAGCATGATCTTCGAGGACAGACTCAGGAAGAGGAAGTCCGGTAACAGCCATTTTCTGCTATTCCTGTTGCTAGCTTCTGTGTTTGGTGCTTACTGTGTGTCAGATGTTTTGTTGACTTCTTTGCCTGTCGCTTCCTTTACCACTCACATTTAAGATAAGCATTATGACTATTCCTCTTGTACAGATGAGGAGAATGAAGCGCACAGTACTTGATAGCTAGTTGCTGGGCATGGTGTCACACGTTTACAGTCCCAGAACTCAGGAGTCGGGAGCAGCTTAGTCAAACTAGTGAGACCCTGTCTCACAAAGCAGAAAGAGTGGGTGTAGTAGTATGTACCCCCAGTCCCAGCTCTCAGGAGGCAGAGGCAGGAGGATCTCAGAGAGGTGAGTTCGAGGCCATCCTGGTCTACATATTACAGTTTACAGGCCAGCCAGAGCTACATGGTAAGACCCTGTCTTTAAAGAAAGAAAAGAAAGAAAGAAAAAATTTGGTAACTCTTGGTAGTAAAAGAGCTGGGATCCAAATTCAGGGAAGTTATCTCCAGAACCTTAATCATTACAGCTCTACTGCCTTTAATCTGTGGCTCCTGAGATAGGAAGGCTTTTATAGGCTACGTCTTAGTAGAGAGATAATTTCAAAGTAGTCATTGTCTTAAGGTACCTGTGCTTTGTTGGTCCAGACCCAAGGGACGGCAGCGGAAGTTATGGAAGGATGAGGGTCGCTGGGAGCACGATAAGTTTCGGGAAGATGAACAGGCCCCCAAGTCCCGACAGGAGCTCATTGCTCTGTATGGCTATGACATTCGATCTGCTCACAATCCAGATGACATCAAACCCAGAAGAATCCGGAAACCTCGGTAAGAAAGTTCAGGAGCCTGGATTATTGATACTTCAAACTCTTCTGCTTATCTAAATGCTTTCCTTTTAAGTGACTAAGTATGGGGTATGGCACATCTCCTTGCCTTTCGGTATAAACACGGAGTTCTTCTCTTACATTGTCTTAACACTTTTACTGTTTTCAGATTTGGAAGTCCCCCACACAGAGATCCAAACTGGATTGGTGATCGGTCAAACAAGTCCCATCGCCTCCAGGGCCCTGGGGGCACACTCCCACCAAAGACATTTATTAACAGGAGCGCAGCAGGCACTGGCCGCATGTCTGCATCCAGGGGTTACGCTCGCTCTGGGGGCTTCAAGGAAGGTCGCACTGGCTTTAGGCCTGTGGAGGTTGCTGGGCAGCATGGTGGCCGGTCAGGTGAGACTCTTAAGCATGAAGCTAATTACCGGTCACGGCGTCTGGAGCAGACTCCTGTGAGGGATCCATCCCCAGAACCAGATGCTCCGTTACTTGTCAGTCCTGAGAAAGAAGAGGTGGCCTCAGAGACACCAGCTGCTGCTCCTGATACCACACCACCAGCTCCTGACAGGCCCATTGAAAAGAAATCCTACTCCCGGGCAAGAAGGACCCGGGCCAAAGTTGGGGATGCAGTCAAAGCTGCTGAGGAGGTTCCCCCTCCTTCTGAAGGACTCACTGCAGCAGCCACAGTCCCAGAAACTCCTCCTGCAGCTGCTAAAACTGGGAGCTGGGAAACTCCAGTAGATTCCACCACAGCTGGACTTGAGCAAGATGTGGCACAGCTAAATATAGCAGAACAAAATTGGAGTCCAGGACAGCCTTCATTCCTGCAACCACGGGAGCTTCGAGGTGAGCATCACAGGCCTGAGGTCAGGGAACGTGTCCCTGGGAATGTAGTGTTTGACAAATAGCTCCCTTTTTCTTAATGGAGCAGAAAGTATAGATTCAGAGGTCTGTCTGCCTATCCTCAGAGCAATTTTCTGTTTCCCAAGCCTGTCCTGCTGCTTATGCACACGGCTAACTGTTGGTACTTAGCTCCTCGGTCAAGATTATTTCTTCTTCTCTGCACAAAAGGTGATAGAAGATAGCATCTTAGACTGTTTGAGCCAGTGCTTAAATGTTTGAAGGTAGAAATGTATTTGAATTTTAATCCAGATGCTTTGTTCTAAAAGGAAAGCCTTTCTAATATCCTTTTTTCTAGAGACAGACTTCCCACTAGAACTATATATAATACTGGTGCCTTTGGGTATGTTTTGAAATGTGGCTAGAAGGAAGAATTGAACTTTCAGTTGATTTTAAAAACACGTGTGTGGTGGCGCATGCCTTTAATCCCAGCACTTGGGGAGGCAGAAGCAGGTGGATCTCTTGAGTTCAAGACTAGCCTGGTTTACAGAGTGAGTTCCAGGACAGCCAGCACTACAGAGAAAGCCTGTCTCAAAACCAAAACAAACATTAAAAGCACGTAGCTAGCAGGTAGCATTTAGTTTTTGAAATCTAGTGTAACTTTTTTAGATAGTATCTTTATGTGTGTCTATAGGTGTTTTGCCTACACCTCTGTTTATGCATCATGTTTACAGTGCCACAGAGGCCAGAGGAAGGTATCAGATCCTTTGAGAGTAGAATTATAGACGAGATGGTTGAGCTGTGGTGTGGGTGCTGGGAATTAAACCTGGGTCCTCTGGAAGAGCAGCCAGTGCTCCTGACCACTGGGCTGTCTGTCCTACGCTATGGGCCAGACTTAAAGAGTGCAGATCTTCATGAGCACTGGGAATTTTGACACTCTACTTTAGTACAGGTGATCGTATTTTCATTATTAATTTTTTTGTTTGTTTGTTTTTGAGATTATACTATAATTACATCATTTTCCACTTCCCTTTCCTCCTAAACTTTCTCAAGTACTCTTCCTTACTCTCTTAGAAATTCATAACCTCCTTTTTATTAACTGTTGGCGTATGCACATATGTACATACATTTGTATTTCCTAAATACGTAACTATTCACCCTTCTCAGTCTGTGCCCTGTAACTGTCATGTCTGTTTTCAGGGCTGACTGTTTGGTGTTGGACAACCAGTTGGTGTGCTCCTCCCGTTTCTCCTGCTCTCCGCATTTACCTTAGTCACCTGCAGGTCTTTGTAGAGGGTTAAGGTTTTTCCACTATCCACTTTGACTTGTCTGTTGTTTCCTTGTTCAGCGAGATCATGTTTTTCAGAGTTTATGGGTATAGTTTTTAATGGTACTAGGAAATACAATCTCTCAGCAAACTCCCTGATCCTTTAGCTCTTAAAATCTTTTCACCCCCTCTTCCTCAGTGATCCCTGAGCCTTAGTTGTGAAAGTTGTGTTGTGGATTTATCTGTTGGAAGTAGGCTCCAAAACTTCGTTTTGATTGGTTGTGGTTTCATTTTCTGTGAAGGTCTCCATCTGTTGCAAAGAGAAGTTTCCTTGATGAGTGATCAGAACTACATTTATCTGTGGTTATAAGGACAAATATTTAGACTGTAGTAGGGATTATGCTGATTTAGTAAAATGGTGATTTAGGTTCTCCAAAATCCATGACTTAACTAACTACCTTGGGTAATTGGCCAGATTTCCAGTACTAATCTTGATTTCTCTCATGTTGAGTGGGTCTTAAGTTCAATTAGAGAGCTGTTGGTTACCACCAAGCTTTGTGTGCCACTAATGCACCCTCAGTTTCTCCATGCCATGCTGATCGCTGTGGTTCATATGCATTTTAGTGGGGTATTGTTGGTTGGTTGCTTTCTTTCTTTAGAAACCTGTATGGTGCTTTCCGGTCAGAGATCAACTAATTCTAGGACCAATATAGTTTACACTAATTTATTTTTTTTAGGGTTCAGACTTCATTGGTTCAACCAAAAGGGCAATGTTAACCATTATCCCGGGGGCGTCATCCACTGATGTGAATGCCACCTTTCTTACACTAATTTTTGATGCTCAAATGTTTGATGCTCCTGGCTGGCACTGACCTGAAAATCTCTGCCCTGACAACTAGCTTTTTTGGTACCAGCACTCGGGAAACAGAGACAGGCAAAAAAAATGTATTTGCTTGAGAGCTGGAGAAATGGCTCAGTAGCGAAGAGCACGTATTGTTACGAAAGACTGACGTTCAATTCTCAGCACCCACATCATACACCTTTTAACTGCGTGGAACGCCAGCTTTATGGAGTCAACGCCTCTTGGACTTCCTTGGGTACATACACAGATACATGCACGTGCACACACACAAATTCATTTAAGGAGGATTTATTTACTTTATGTGTATGAATATTTTAGCCTGCACGTATATTTGTGTACCATATACATGTCTAGTGCCCAAGTAGGCCAGAAGGGAGGGTAAAATTCCCTGGAACTAGAGTTACTGATGGTTGTGAGCCACCAGTATCAAAATCAAACCTGAGCTTTTTTCCAAGAGCCATGAGTGCTCTTAACCACTGAGTCATGTCTTTATTCTAAATAATTTTAATCCAGAGAGAATGTATTCTCTTTCTTATATCTACTGTTGTTAGGAAACACTTAGGCCAGCATTTTATAGTATGTTTAATAATGTGCTCTATAGGGAAATACCTTACTTGGGAAAAAGTTGAACTTGAGTTTATTTTTTAGGTTTTTGTTTTGTTTTGGTTTGGTTTGGTTTTTTGAGGATTTTGTTGTGGTAATAAAGATGTTGGGCGACAGGGGCCAATTTTCAAATGCTAGCACTTACAATAAGCAGACGATTTAAAATATTTGGGGTGTGTGTGTGTGCGCGTGCGCGCGCACTTGAGCGCCTGAGTGGATATGTGTACACTGCATGTAAAGGCATTGATCCCCTGGAACTAGAGTTACATATGGTTGTAAGCGTGTACATAGTTGTTGGGGACTGAGCTGCAAGAGTAGCAAGTTAAGGACGGGCGATGGAGGCTCTCACCTTTAATCCCAGCACTCGGGAGTCAGAGGCAGGTGAGTTCAAAGCAGCCTGTTCTGTAGAGTGAGTTCCAGAACAACTAAAGCTACACAGACAAACCCTGTCTTGAATTAAAAGAGAGAGAGAGAGAGAGAGAGAGAGAGTAATAAGTTAAGCAGACAGTTTTAAAGTATTTTGATAGTTTAAAAAAAGAATGCATTTGTTATTTTCTTGATGGTACCTTTGAATCCTGTTCACCTACCTCTGCTCTCAACCAGTGCTTTTTTGTATATTACAGGTATGCCCAACCACATCCATATGGGAGCAGGACCTCAGTTTAACCGGATGGAAGAAATGGTACAAAAATGGGAAGGAGGACTGGGCCTGTCTACCTGGGTGGTAGAGAAGGCATGGTGCCCTTGATTCAGCCTTCAGTACTGTCAGATGTTGAAATAGAGTCTCATTGTTAAGCTGTGGCTAGCCTGGAGCTGTAGGTTAGGCTAGCCTTGGACTCAGACAGATCTGTCTCTGTCTCTCAACTGCTAGTACTAAAGATGTGCACCATAAAGATGTGTTCCCATACCTGGGAACTTAGTGACTGTGACAAAACACCATGGCCAAGGCAACTTATAAAAGAAGGATTTCATTGGGCTTGCAGTTTTGGAGAGTTAGGGGCCATGATGGCAGAGCAAAGCCATGGCAGCAGGAACATCTGGGAGCTTACAACTTTATCCAAAAGTAGGAGGCAGGGAGAGCACACCTGGAATGACCCAGCTTTTGAAGTCACAGAGCCCACTTGCATGACATACCTCAACAAGGCCATACCTCCTCATTTTTCCAAACAGTTCTACCAACTCAGGACTCAGTATTCAAATGTGGATCATTCTCTTTCAGACACTTGTTCACTGATAAAACCCAAATCAGCTCTTTTTATTGTTGGAGGTGTTCTCTAATCCTTTAACCCAGACTGGCCTGCAACATTCATATAGCTCAGGTTAGCTGCACACTCATAGTCCTCCTGTTTTGATTCCAGGGTTCTGAGATGAAAGCTTAGGCTGCTATGCCAGCCAATAGCAGTTTTTCCACTGATTACTCAGGGGGCTTTGTTTTGTTTAGTTTGGACCTCAGAAATAGAGTGTTTAGAGGTTCAAATGCTGGTATGTTGCATCAAATTTTCAGTTCATCTTAAAAATATTCATTAAATACTTCCATGTACCAAATTTTACCAACCTAAAGCAGGTAGGCTTTGCTATGAAAATCACTTCTGGGCTCTGAATCAGATCTCTTTACCGCAGGGTGGCCAGGGTGGTCGAGCTAAACGTTATTCATCCCAGCGGCAGAGACCTGTGCCAGAGCCCCCTGCTCCTCCCGTGCATATCAGTATCATGGAGGGACATTACTATGATCCATGTGAGTTCTTTCTTATTGTTGGGGTACCTTTCTTATCAGCATAAGGGAATTAAGTGTTTAGCCTTCCAGCTTTTAATTTCCCTTCTGGCTTCACAGTGGTTATCCCATGTTGTTTAGTTGCTATTTTCTTCCTATAGAAAATTTAGAACCTAGCAGGCTTGCAAGACAGAAAGTTGCTGATGTGCTCTGAAGGGCCGGGACTTACAAGACTCTCAATATGTCTTACAGTGCAATTCCAGGGCCCAATCTATACCCATGGTGACAGCCCTGCCCCACTGCCCCCGCAGGGCATGATTGTACAGCCAGAAATGCACCTTCCTCACCCAGGTAAGCTTGCATTCCTCTTGTATGCTGTGTTAAGGGTCTGTGTTAAGGACTGTACAAAGCCTGCCTCTCTCACACTGCCATGCCATCAGATGCTGTCCACCCTGGCTGCTTATACAGCAAACTTAAATCCCACTTTAAGGATTGGAGCCAAGCCTGTTGTGCTTGGTGGTCCAAGTTAAGCCATCCCAAAATAAAAGTGGTATACTCTTTACAGTTTATTTTTGTTGTTGTTTCCTTTTCTTTTCTTTTCTTTTCCTTTTTTTGCCCAGGTTTACATCCCCATCAGTCACCAGGACCTCTGCCCAATCCGGGTCTCTACCCTCCTCCAGTGTCCATGTCTCCAGGACAGCCACCACCCCAGCAGTTGCTTGCTCCTACTTACTTCTCTGCCCCGGGTGTCATGAATTTTGGTAACCCCAGTTACCCTTATGCTCCGGGAGCATTGCCTCCTCCTCCGCCTCCTCATCTGTATCCTAACACGCAGGTAAGATGCCTAGTTTTTTTAGGTTTACATCCTTTAAATCACACAGGAGAGAATGTTAAAAGAATTTTCGAAGAACATTTCAGTGCCTCTGATTCTCCTTTGTGGTACTAGGATGCCTCTTGGTGGTCAGGAACTGGAAGTGCAGCTTACGTAATGTCTATCATCGCTTATTTTCAGAGGTTTTTTTGTTGTTATTTGATACAAAGTATGTTACTGTGTAGGGCTCACTGGCCTGGAACTCATTATATAGACCAGGCTAGCCTCAAATTCAGAGATCTACCTGCCTGTCCCTCCTGAGTCCTGGGATTAAAGGCATGCACCACCAAGTGTGTTTTTTTGTTTTGTTTTGTTTTTGTTTTTTTGAGGTAGGGTCTCAGGATAGCCCTGTTTGGCCTGGAATATATGATCCTCAGCCTCTGATTCCCAGGTACTTTGGAAAACCATGGTTGGCTTTTTCTTCAGTTTCTTTAAGAATCAGTGTCTTACAGTAGATCATGGGTGTCCCCATGTGCTATTTATTCAACTGTACAAAGGAGTGTCTTCTTCTGGACAGCATATCTTATCCCTGTCCTGAGGCACTTGATACCATCTGGCATCTAGAATGCTACCACTGAGCTCAGCCCTCTATTTGTCAGCTAATGGAAGGGCTGGAGACAGTTGGACAGTACTTTAAAGAATGGAAATCAGGGGCTGGGAAGATGGCTGTGTAGTTAAGAGCACTGGCTGTTCCTGCAGAGGACCCAGGTGCAGTTCCAGCACCCATGGCAGGCAGCTCTCAACTGCCAGTAACTCCAGCCTCTGAGGTCACCATCATATATTCACACAGACACAGTCTTAATTAAAATTACTGTTGCTATGAAAGAAAAGCAATAGTATGACCAAAAGCAACTTGGGCAGAGAAGGGTTCATTTTGCTGACATTTCTGCATCACTGTTTATCATTGAAGGAAGTCAGGGCAGAAACCAGGAGGCAGAGGCTGATGTAAGGCCATGAGGAGTGCTGCTCTCTGGCTTGCTCCTTGCGGCTTGCGCAGCCACTTTCTCTTTCGGTGTTTGAGACAGGGTGTTGCTATGTACGGTGCTGCCACATCTGGGGGGAAAAAGTATTTTTTAAAAATGTAAGTTGTTCAGGGTTTTTGTTTTTTGCAGTTAGCTAATGTTTTCTGTTTCTCGTAATTTGGGTTAACTCTTAGTTTGTTTTTTCTCCTGGCTTGTGGGGTCCTAGGCTCCGTCACAGGTGTATGGAGGAGTCACTTACTATAACCCTGCCCAGCAGCAGGTGCAGCCAAAGCCCTCCCCGCCCCGGAGGACTCCGCAGCCCGTCTCCATCAAGCCCCCTCCACCTGAGGTATGGCTCCGCCCACACTCTTAGCATATGGCCTCTGCTTTCTCCAGAGGCTCTTTTCCGTTTAGGGTGTTTGTCTATGGAAGTCTCTTTTGGTATGACATGGTAACACATTTCACCTTTTATCATTTCAGGTTGTAAGCAGGGGTTCCAGCTAAAATGAGTTTTCAAATATTTTAAGTTTAACATCATGTGAAAGTAAGTACCTGATGTGTTGTGACTCTTAATGCTCATCCTTATGTGCTTACCAAGACCACCTACTTTACATCACAGTCGTTGGGTATCTCAGGGAACTTGTTTATGAATGCGTTTTAGAATCGAAGAGAAGTCATCCCTACCTTCAGAGTTTCATTTGGGAAACTGCAGAATAAAAGTACAGGAGCACAATCTAAATCAGGAAAGACAAAAAAAAAAAAATCTGAATTTAATTTATTACAACCAAAAAAACCAGTTTTAAGGCTTTTAAAAGAGAGTGTCTGTGGGATTGCTTCCAGGCTTTGGTGGAATGTATGTTTTCTTTAGGAGGTTAAGCTCTCACTGTATAGCCCAAACTGGCCTCAAACTTTCCATCTTCCTGTTTCCATCTCCTGAGTGCTCAGATTACAGGTTTGGGCCACCACACCTGACTCTGGGATATTTTTATTGCTTTTGTTTTGTTTTGTGGTTATTAAAACACATTATTTAGAAGCTTAGGGTGTAGCATGTTCAAGGTCTTAGACTTGATCTGTGGCACCAAATAAACCACATTATTTAGAAATGTGGCCCCCAAGAAGGCTTATATAAATACTCAGAGGTTCACTGACACACTTCTTCTCTTTTTAACTCTCAGTATATCAGGAGAGGTGGAAACTCAGGAGAGAAGAGAAACACAACTGGCTGTCTTCTCAGAGGGCTTCAAAAATGTGGGGTGGCCCTGCCAGTGGACAGCTGGGGGACGAGAGGCCCTCTTTCTCTGAGGACAGGTCTGCTAGAGAGAGAAGAAAGAGGTGGCTACCTTCCACCTCCACTCTTCACTTGAGCTGCCTGGACTCAGGGAGCAGAGACTGGACAACCCAGGTTTCTGAATCTAGATTCAGAAGCTTGCATCTCACTGTTCTTTACTTTCTCTCTGAAAACTCAAGTGTCCTCTGCTCCCAGAGAAGTTCCTTCCTGCTTGTTTGTTTGAATGTTCATTTTTAAAGCCTGACTTACCCTTTTTAAATTAATATTCTTAGTTTTTTCTCCTTTTCCCTGCTCTGCCCCTGACTTTACATGGAACAGGTTTGTCTAGTTTACTACCCTTTCAGGGTTCCCTTTTGACCCCTCCCTTAATCCCACATAATTGAGAATGTATCAACCAAGTGTAAAAATAGCTGGCCTTTTCCTTGTGGTTGGTCTTTATTAGTCTCTTAACTCCTCAGAACTCTGTGGAAGCTATCTGCACGCAGTATCCCACTGTAAAGAGAGCTCAGAGTTGGTGAGTAGGGAACACTTGTTTGGGGTGTAGGTTTGAGCCTCCATCAGGACCTCTAGTCTTATGGCTTCAGTCCTCCACTGAGGCAGAATATCTGCTGTGGGAAGAGAAAACAAACTTGTGAGAAGGGAGGGTGGAACAAGATCCCCTGCACGGTTAGGGAATGCATGGCTGAGTCCTCAGGGCTGTCTTTGAGGTAAGTGGAATTAGTGGGTCCTGCTGCTTCCCTTCATACGCCTCCTACTACATCCATCCCTTCCCAGTTGCTGTGGACCAATGCACCTCTAGAGACAAATACTACCCAGCGTCTGTCTGCCTTGTCTTTTGCAGTTCTCCATGCCTTCCCTGCTACAAGTGTTTTTTAGATGTTACTGCCTTGCTGTCCCCAAATTCTGCTCCTGTACCTGCAAACAGAAGGTACCTGGACTTAAATCCTAGGGGAGCAAGTCACCTTCTAGGCAAAGGCTCTCCTTTCTGTCCTTCCTCTCCATGGCACCGTACCACATCCTGGTGCCTCTATGGAAGTCTTACTGCAGCACTCTGTATGCCTGCCAGGGTTCCTACAGAACCTGAGGGAAAGGCGGTGGCTGTCTCTCCCTGGTAATGTCACTGTTTCTATTCTTCCCTCCTACAGCTGGCCTAACCACTCTGAGTTGGGGGTGGGGGTAAAACCCCAAGGAGGAAATAATTAAGAGGTTCTTCCAGGGGTAGCTGGTGGTTGTGCCTTTTATAGGCTTCCCTTTGCCTTAAACCTGAAGATGTCTTTTCAAGCCTGTGGGCAGCATGCCCAGATTCCCAGACCTTAAGACACTGTGACAGTTGTCTGTTGGTCCACTGTGTTTAGTTGCAAAGATTTCACCATGTGTGTGTTTTTTGTTATTGTTCTAACGGGTGCACATTTGTGATCAGCATTGTGACTTGGAGATAATAAAATTTAGACTATAGACTTGACTCTGTTGCCAGTTATTACATGTGTCTTCATTTGGGAGGGAAGAAAGAGACTCTAATTTCACTACAGAATTACAGGCATAATTTGAGCCAGCTCAGACTGGTAAAAATGGAAGGTCAGAGAAGTAAGGTGCCCCTGAGGCCCTAAGTTTGAATGTGTTCACCAACAGTTTACCAACTAAGCTCCCCCCCCCCCTTTTTTTTTTAAGACAGGGTTTCTCTGTGTAGCCTCGGCTGTCCTGGACTTGATTTGTAGACCATGCTGGCCTTGAACTCACAGAGATCCTCATGCCTCTGTCTCCCTGAGTACTGGGGTTACAGGCGTGCTCCACTGAACCCAGCCTCTCCCCCTTTTTTGTTGATTTTTGTTTTTCGGGCAAGGAGCTTATGTTGCTCAAGCTGGGTCTTAACTCACCTTGTAGCTTAGGGTAACCTTTACTTTCTGATCCTCCTGCTGCCACTTCCCAGGTGCTGGGATTTCAGGTGCGTACTGCTACACTCAACTTCTGACAGTTTATTATTTTAAATATTTATATTTGGGGTTTTGAGACCCTGCCTTGTCTCACTGTGTATCCCTGGCTGGTCTGGAACTTACAGAGATCCACCTGCCTCTGCCTCCCAAGTGCTGGGATAAAAGACATGCACCACTACCCCTACCTGTAGGTAGCCATCTTTCTTGGAAAGTAAAGATGGCACTCAAATACCAAGGTCCATGCTCTGAAGGACAGCTACCAGTCTTAGCACTGGAAAGACAAGAACAAAGACGACCAATTGGTTCAGGCTGCCTTTTACTTGAGACTCTGGAATGCACAGAGTAATTCCCAGTTTTGAATTAACTTTGAGTGGAAGTGTACAACTATTCTGCAAAAGCAACCCCTGGTATGGAAGACCGTTGGGTATTGTGGGGCAGGAAACGTTTATTCTTGGCTCCACAAAGCTTTACCTTGGTGGTGTGGGAATGCCCACAAACTGGGACATCTCCCCTCTGTCCCACAAGGTGACACTATAGACCTGATATCCCTGGTCATGCAAAGAATGTCAATCAATCTTGGGGATGGGTTACTGGCAGGAAAAAGGAATGTTGGGATGTTTCCTTCTCACCCCTGTCTCTTCCCCAGTCCTGCAGTTAGAGCCCATTGCTCTCTGTTGCCCTGGTAACCAGCTCAGCAAAAAGAAACTCAAGCTCAGCAAAACCCTCAGGTTCCCTCTGCCTTCCTAGCCTGCCTCTTGGTGGGCAGAGATAATGGGAGTTTAAGGGGCAAATAGATTACTGCCTGTCCAATACCTCTCTAGGAACCCATGGGTTGGGCGCCTCCGTTAAGCTTGTTGGCTCCATTTCCTCAGTTAGGTAATTTAATACCACCTTGCCTTTCTCTTTGTTTTTCTCATGGTAAGGCAGACACCCTATCAATTTTCCCCTGTGGGTCAGTCCATGGACCTACCTGAAGGTGACTCAAAACAGCAAGAATTTGTAGTTACAGGGTCACCTGACACTTGCAGCTGACCCGATGTAGTGATTTTCTTCTTTTGTTTATTTTGGTTTTTCATGACAGGGTTTCTCTGTGTAGCCTTGGCTGTCCCAGGCTCGCTTTGTAGACCAGGCTGGCCTCAAACACAGAGATCTGCCTCTGCCTCCCCGAATGCTGGGATTACAGGCGTGTGCCATTGAGCCGTGGTTTTCAACGCTGGCTCTCGAATCACCTGGGGAGCTTTTAAACTCCCAGAAGCCGTGGGCCTGCCACAGAGGATCTCATAATTGATCGAGGGTATGACCCTGGTGTTGGCAATTCCGAAAAACTCCCATGTGGTTCCAGTGAGCAGCCAAAGTGGAAACCACTGCCGTCCCAGGAGGACCACGAGTTAATGCCGCCTTTGCTTCTGATTCAAGGTCTCAAACTCCGTGACTGACACTTTAGCCACTTTCTGGAAGGGTCTGGAGTCCTGTTCCCCAAGCCTTTACTTTCTAGAAGTCTCTCACTCACTTTTATTTGCAGCCCCCACACCCTTCACACCCTCCAATTTTTCACCCTTCCTAACCGGCAGTCCCAAATCCTGCCCAGAGAGGAGGTTACCAAGGCAACCGGCTTAATCTGGTAACTGTGGCATGTGCAGGAAGAGAAGCCCTTCCCTCTTCTTACTTGGTTCCTAAAAGGTTACCTGGGGAGCTCCAAGGCACTCTGGCTAATTTCGTCTTTCAACCTTAAGCAATACAGAGTGTCCGATAAAGGGACTCCAAAAAGCCAATACGCAGACCTAGATTCCTAGACAAAATCACAGCTTTTTTTTTTTTTTTTTTTTTTTTTTTTGTTCCCTCTCCAAATCCACAGATGGGTATGCAGGGCTCTATTTCTGTGACACATGCTCTAGCACACATGGAACTGGGTAGGCACAAGCGTAACGCACACCCTGTCAGTTCCGCCCCTCCCAGCTATTAGCATTCCTGTCCATCCACGCCTGGTTGAGGCTCCGTAAACAGGGGCGGGGCTTGGTCCAAGGAGGCCCAGCCCACCAGGAACCTGCTGCCACGCTCTCATCACGTACACCTACTCAGCCTGGACGGGTTCGCGGTACCCCATCCTCCTTGGGGACAGATTGCTCTGGCGTGGCCAACAGGGGTAAGGGCAATATGTCTCCCGTTCCATGACTACATGGGCTTGGTTGACAGTTTGCGGTCTTCCCACTCATCTCTCCGGTCTTGCTTCCTTTTGCGGCCACCTGGACTAAACTACCCGTATGCTCTCGGTCTCCTCTAGCTGGTCTACTATCTCTCTCTGCACCAATTAGACCTGCCACAACCTGCTGGCCTCTGCCTGGCTCTCTCCTACCTGCCAGTACCTGCCTTCCAGGGCGGCCCTGCACCATCTACCCTATCAGAAAAGGATGTGGGTACCGCCCCCAGTGCCAATGCCAGTTTACCCAAGACGCCATCCTCACAGGTGGAAGATAAAGACCAAATAAAATTGTGGGAAGGATGCAAGGAGTTCAGCGGTCTTTATAAGCCTCGCCCGTGTACATGTGGGCGTGCCAAGGCGTAGGTCAAAGATCCGCCCTGGCTATTGGGAACGGTCCAAGAGGCCGGAGTCCTCTCCCTTGGTAAATCTCTCCCTCGCCTTTGCCCTTAGTCTCTGCGACCGTCAGACACCGAGTCCTAATTTCCCTCGCGGTCAGCACCAGCGGCCTGAGTTCAAGCCTGGCGCGGCCCGGTGGGGGCGGGCCTAGCAGGGGAGGGGAGGGGACTGGAGGAGGGGGCGCGGTCTCAATTCTGCCACCTTCCCCGGGGCCAGGAGCGCAGCCGCCGCCGCGTCCTCAGCCTCGCGCTCCGCCCGCTGCCTCTGTCGCCTCAGCCCGGCCCCGGAGCGCCGAGCCGGGGACGCCGGCCGCTCAGCCTGCCCGCCCTTCGGCCGCAGCCGGCATGGGGGGCCGCTGAGGGCGAGCTCCTCTTCCCCCTGGCACCTCCCCCGGCCACTGGCCTCTGGACTCCGGCCAGCGGGGCTCGGCCACCTCTGGCTCGCAGTCCGACGCCTGGCACGGCCCTCGGCTCTGCTCCTCCGGCTCTGAGCATCGTGTCCCCGCCCCCCCCGCCCGCGCCTGGGACACCTGGGTCCCCCGGCGGCCCCTAGGAGAGGGGCGGGGGGGGGGCATGAAGCCTCTGGAGAAATTTTTGAAGAAGCAGACGTCGCAGCTGGCGGGGCGAGCGGTGGCGGGAGGTCCCGGCGGGGGTCCGGGTTGCTGCGGAGGGCCTGGAGCGGGTGGGGGTCCTGGCGGGGGCGGCGGTCCGGCCGGGGGACCGCGGCCACTGCAGCGGCGTCAGAGCGTGTCTCGCCTTCTGCTCCCGGCTTTCCTCCGAGAGCCCCCAACCGAGCCCGGGCTGGAGCCGCCCGTTGAGGAGGAAGGGGGAGAGCCATTAGTGGTCTCTGAGGAGCCGGGCAGCGGGGGGCCCTGTTGGCTTCAGCTAGAGGAGGTGCCCGGGCCTGGGCCGCTGGGGTGCGGGGTCCCCCTGCGCTCCCCTTCCTCGTACTCCTCAGATGAGCTATCCCCTGGCGAGCCACTGGCTTCACCGCCCTGGGCCCCCCTGGGCGCCCCGGAGCGTCCAGAGCATCTTCTGAACCGGGTTCTGGAGCGCCTGGCTGGAGGGACCAGCAGAGACAGCGGCGCCTCAGGTAAGCCTCCTCATCCATCCCAGAGCCGCGGCGCGGGGGGGTCGGGGGGATGCCCCTGGTTTATTTTCCTGTCCTTAGCACCGGTGTGGGGCCTGAGGGGAACCCCGAAGTAATGTAGGGGAAGGGACATGATAGTGCTCATCCAGCTTCCTCCCCACACCTAGCGCCATTCTCAGGGAAGAAGCCAAGCCATCTCTCTCCTCCAGCCACCCTTCCTCTCCCTTGGATATTTAAGCCAGTCTCCCATGGGCCCGTGGTACTGCCTACCTCCTCCCATGCCCCCAGATTGAGCCTGACACCCTAAGATGGAGGCTTTCCCCAGCTGAGGTTATTAGATAGCACCCTTTAGACCGTATCTGAGGCCTGGAAATGCTGACAGATTCCTGGCTGGGTAGAAGCTCCCCCAGAACAAGCGCTGGCTCATCTGGTGGGGCAGTGTGGGTAAGACACGGGCTCGGCTCAGCTGCCCTTAGGCAAAGTGTCCTCCTTGGGAGGGGACTCGAAGGTCTCTGAGGGAAGGTACCAGGAGACTGCAGCATCCAGAAGGATCTAGGCCTCTGCAGCTCCCAACCTTCCTATGTCATGCCTCAGCACAAGGCCCTTTTAAAAAATAATAACCACACCCTGGGAGGCTTAGTCCCTAAATGATGGTGCATTTCACCCCCTTCAGTACCCTATTAAAGGGATTTTTTGAGAAACATAGCTCCGACACACACACACATCATTAGTTGGAACTGAGGTAGAAGACGCCAGGGTCTTTAGATCTAATTAGGCTCTGCACTAAACCCAGAAGGGTCTTAGGTTTGCCCAAAGTTGAGACCCTAAACATAAGGATGTTACACGTCAGTCTCCATCCTGTGCAAGGTGTCCTGGTCATAGTGTGGTGTCACCCTGGCCGCTACGTTTTCCACCCTGGAGGTTGGGGTCCTCTCTTTTGGCTTAGGCGGCAGTTGCCCTGGGGAGCTGACACCTTTTGGATTTAATTAGTACGATATCAGACACACACAGCTCTCTTAACCATAACTTCCCGCCTACACCACACACCGTGTCTCTCTGACACATTCCCCGGGGAGGCTGTGCGTTGGACTGGAGCCTGCCGTGGAAGAAGCAGATGCCAAACTGTAGCCCCCGTATCAGCGTCTCCCCCACTCTGCCCATGTTCCTCTTTCCTTTACCCTGCTTTTAACATTCATACTCTCAGGAGATGAAGATGCTAGGAAGGATGTCAGGCCTACTTAGGCTTATTCTCCAGCCTTGGGGCTGGGCATTAGGCCAGGGGGGCCTTCTGACTGACTTTTAGAACCATAGCAGGGTATCCAGGCAGAGAGGGAAAGAGGGGTTGTCTTTCCTCTTCTGCAGGGGCACGGTGCCACAGACTGTTCAGTTTTCCCTGGGTTAAGACTCCTGAATTGTCGCCCATATTATCTGGCTTGGCAGTCTAAATCCCCAGAGTGACTGGTTTGGGAAAGCTCCCAGCTTCACCTGCCACTCCAATATTTCCAATATAAGCCTCGTTCTCCAGCCATTTGGTTGCCTCCCAGGCTGTGTGGGAGGAGACAACTGCTTATTGAAGGCTCTCCACAGCCAGCCAGAGCCTCTGAGAGGTCTTCTTCTGGCTCCAGGCAAGTGCCTCCTAGCTCTGGGCCTCAGTTTCTCATCTGTGAAGCAAAGTAACTTGAAGGAGACAATCTCTTGTTGCTTCTCTGCCTCCACCTTCATGGCTGGCACCGGCAACAGGGCAGGACAACCAAGAGTTGTCACAAGCCTGGAGCAGTGCCTGGGGACCGGGCCCTAACCTGTCCTGGTGAGGCCACCTGGCTCCCTCCCTGTGCCCTGCCTGTCTGTGGGTGCCAAGCAGCCCTGCCCTACCCCAAGGCTGGCGGCAAGTCAGGGCGACCTTGTACCTGGCTGACTGGCTGAGCCAGGCCCAGACAGGGGTGTGGAGGGAAAAGGGTGATGAGAAGAGCCCCTCCCTCTCCCTTTCCTCATTAACCCTTCCACCTCTGAGCACCCAGAGGACAGAGGGTTTCTATTTAAAGACTGAGAAAAAGAGATGGCAGTCTGTGTCCTCTGTCAATTTTAATGGGGATGGTCCCCAATGTGCCTTGTTGAAACTCAAAAGCTATGAGGTAGGGAGTGGCAGGAGAGGATGGACACACGTCCACACCCATCCACATCCCTCTGACTGGAACCTCTGTGTTTGCCAGTTCTCTGTTGAGAGTTCCTTCTGTGAACTGTTTTTTGTTGTTGTTGTTGTTGTTTTCCAAGCACAGCTCAGGCGTGCTGTGTTATCTGACCAACTTCTCACACGCTGAAGAGAAGAGTGCATGGCCTTCAAAGCCATCCCCCCCTTCCCTCCAGCTGCCTTGGCAGCTGCCAGCCCCACCCCCGCAGCGGCTGCCCAGAACCTTCACACATGTGCGTGCGCGTGTGCAGAGCATGACGGGGCAGGTGGCCGCGGCTCCAGCCTTACTAAAGAGGCAAGAAATGAGGGTGCAGGGTTTCCAGAAGGGTTCTGGAAGCCCCCCTCTGACATCTGTGACACCCATTGATCTCCACAGATATTCTCCTTGATGACATTGTCCTCACCCATTCCCTCTTCCTGCCAACAGAAAAGTTTCTACAGGAGTTACACCAGTAATATCCTTTTACGGAGCTTATTAAGACGGCGGACCAGAAGGGGGCCATTTCTCCTACCCTTACAAACTACATCCCAGCCCAAGCTCTTCCTTAGAGGACACATCCAGCTTTTTATCTCACCAGCTGTGTGACCTTGGGCCTGGAGCCTCAGTTTGCTGGTCAGGAAAATGGAGACAGTTGTTCTGTTCTGGGCTACTGTGAGAACCAGCCAGGTTGCAGGAGTGTGGGAGGGGGGTGCTCAGAGTACAGTGTCAGGTTCTGGCTGGTCCTAGGCAGGGAGTTACCAGTAGTAACTGAGGCCTCGACCACATGAACACATGTAAGGGGTTGCTGGTCTAATAAGGGGCTCCTCTGTCCCCACTGAAGATCCTTGCTCTAAGCACACGCCTTTAATCCCAGAACTTGGGAGGCAAGCAGAGGCGGGTGGATCTCTGAGTTCGAAGCCAGCCTGCTCTACAGAACGAGTTCCAGGACAGCCAGGGCTACACAGAGACAGCCTGAGTCAGAAGAAAGAAAGAAAAAAAAAGTCCTTGCTCTAAACATAGGGTCTGATGTCAGCATTAGGCCGTGGCTGTGCTTCGGTAGGGTCAGCTAGAGACGAGCTACTGCTGGCCTGTTTCCTGGGTCTCCGGGCAGCATACGTTCAACTTTACCTGGTATTTTTGTTTTGTTTTGTTTTTGAGTCAGATCTCACTAGGTAACCCTGGGTAGCTTAGAACTTCTTACATAGACCAGGCTGTCACTGACTGGTGGCGGGCCTCTCGAGTGCTAGGATTACAGGAATGCACCACCAGGTCTGGCTTCACTGAATTATTTTAGAACCTAATTGTAAGTGTCAAGCCCTTGGGTAGAATGTGTTTAGGCTCTCTTAAAAAAGTCAGGCCTCACCCTCATCGTGATGTGAGGTCAGGTTTGTGGGCTGGGCAGAGATTAGATGGGTTCTGGCAATATTCTAATTTTTTTTTTTTTTTTTTTTTTTTTTGAGACAAGGTTTCTCTGTGTAACCTTGGCTGTCCTGGACTTGCTTTGTAGGCCAGGCTGGCCTGGAACTCCCAGAGATCCACCTGCTTCTGCCTCCCTGAGTGCCAGAACTACAGGTGTGCACCACCACACCAGGTCCTGGCAATATTCTTAAGTGAACCTTTTAACAAGCAAGAGCTGAATGTGAAGTGCTGGGCGTAAGTGGCCCATGCCCGTAATCCCAGCACTCAGGGAGGCGGTGGCAGGCAGATCTCTGCGAGCTCGAGGCTGTCCTGGTCTACAAAGCGAGTCCAGGACAACCAAGGCTACACAGAAAAACCCTGTCTCAAGGGGAAAAAAAAAAAGCTGAATGTGGTCAAGTTGAAGCCTTCACTGTTTGTACTCTGGCTGGTATGGGTGAGTGTCTTAGCTCCAGGGCCCTGAAAACCTTCTTTCCTTCTGGCACTCAGGCCTGGAATATTCAGGGGGCAGTTTGCTTTTGTCAGTTTCCTGGGCCATCCAGAACTTTTACTTAACTTAGCGGTCAGCTTTGTTCAGTCACAGAATGTGGAGGGTCCGGAGGGGCTGGGCCAGAAGCAGGCCTGCCTAGCTCTGCTCCTCCATTTCCTGGATACCTACCAAGGGCTGCTGCAAGAGGAAGAAGGGGCCGGCCAAATCATCAAGGTGGGCCTGGGAGGGAACCGGTGGGCGAGCCGGCGGGAAGTTCTTCAAGGGGGCCCCTTTGAAGGAGTCACGCTCCTCAAGCTGGCTACCTGCAATCCAAAGATGCCAGGGGGCTTCACTGTCGTTCCTGTGGGCTTAAGGCATGGAGGCCCTTTCTCAGCCCTGGTAGTGCGTGGTCCTTGGGATGAGGCATCTGCCCTTGTCTCATCCTTTGCCCTCTCCCTAGGAACTGTATCTACTAATTATGAAGGATGAGTCTCTTTACCAAGACCTTCGAGAGGACACACTGAGGCTGCACCAGCTGGTGGAGACGGTGGAGCTAAAGTGAGGGGGGAAGGGGAACCCTAAGTTCCTCTGTTGTGGGGACTGCCTCTGGTCTCGTGGCTTCAACATATTAGTCGTTTGCTGGCTTTTTAAAGATGTTTATTAATTTATTTTTATTGTTTTGCCTGCACGTATATCTGTATACCATCTGCATGCTTGGGTGCACTGAGGTCAGGTGAGGGCACTGGGTCCTTGGGAGCTTGAGTCATAGATGGCCATGAGCCACCAGGAGGGTGCTGGGAACACAAATGGGGTCCTCTGCAAGGACTCTAAATCACTGAGCCGTCTCTGCGGCCCCTTCAGCCCTTCAATATGCTTTTTCTTTCTGCTCCTTTTCCTTACTGAGAGTAACACAGGACCACAGAACACTGTCTCTAGTACAATCTCTTTCTGGGGAACAGGGGAAGCTGGGCAGTGTTTCTTACTATATAGCTCAACCTAAACGCCCAACTTAAGTGTGTTGCCCAAGATGACTTCTACCGGTAATCCTCCTGTCTCAGGTTTACAAGGGGGCCTGTGCAACCAGGCTCAGCTCCAGTGTTTTCTTTTTCTTTCTTTCTTTCTTTTCTTTTCTTTTTTTTTTTTTTTTTTTAAGTTTTTGATCCATTTTGCCATCGGCTTGCCTATTGCAGACAGTTAGCAACCTGTGTTTTATAAGAAATATCCCTGGTTTCCAGCTCTGGTTCCCACAGTGTAAATTCTCTTACCACAGTTGGTTTCTAGCTAGCAACATGATGTCCTGGGAAGGGATCTGCAGTAATAGTTACAAAATCTTTCCTGCACAGTTATGTATGTATAAATAAGCTATAGCACTGGCCATACAAAACTTAGTAAAGACAACTTAAGTGCTTTTACTGCGTTGTTTTTTTTTCTCATTTATTTATTTATTTATTTTTTAAAGATTGATTTATTATTTATATAGTGTTCTGCCTGCATGTACACCTACATGCCAGAAGAGGGCACCAGATCTCATCATAGATGGGTGTGAGCTACCATGTGGTTGCTGGGAATTGAACTCAGGACCTTTGGAAAAGCAGACAGTGCTCTTAACCTCTGAGCCATCTCTCCAGCCCCTCATTTATTTATTTATTGAGTCAGAGTCCTTGAAACTTTGCAGCAGTCTTTTAGCCTCCCAAGGTGGGATTCTAACTTTGTGCCATGATGCCTGGCTTGATACTGTCTCTCATTTGTTTTATGAGACAAAAGTTTTTCTGTGTAGCCCTGACTGTCTTGGAACCCAATTTGTAGAGCAGGTTGGCCTAGAATGCACAGAAATCCACCTGTCTCTGCCTCCCAAGTGCTGGGATTAAAGGCTTGTGCCACCACCACCTGGCAAAACTGTGTTTTTGATAATTTATTTGACCTTAAGTTTATGAAATGTGTGTATGAACGGACACACATATTTAATAGCTGTCATTAAAAATCAGTAAACAGGGGCTTCAGAGATGGCTCACTGGTTTAAGAGCAGTTGCCTTTCCAGAGGAGATTCCCAGCACCCATATGGCAGCTGACAATCATCTGTGCCTCCAGTTCCGGAGGAGCTGATGCCCTCCAGAACTGCCCTCCAAGTGTAGTGCCCCATGTGGCACACATGTAGGCAAAACACGCAAACACACTAAAAACACAGGTGAATCTTAAAAATGTGTATCAGTTAATAGCTGGGCATGGTGTCACACCCCTGTGATTCTAGGTATTTAGGAGGCTAAAACAGAAGACTCACCAATTCAAGACCAGCTTGGACAACTTAGTGAGATCATGTCTCAAGATTAAAAAAAAAAATAGTAAGGGCTTGGAATATAGTTCAGAGGTGGATTGCGTGTCCGCTGTGTGTAAGGCCCTGGGTTTAACCCCCAGTATTAACAAAACAAACAGTTGGCAAAACTCCCCAAGATTGACTTCACCAGCTTCAGGACATGAGTCCTATTCATCACTTGGTTTTTCTCCTTCGTTCTGTTGCTACAGGGTTCACTAAACAGACTTCCATAAACCATCCCTTCACCCTCCTGTTCCCAAAGCGTCCGTGTTCCCGGACTAGACATGTCTCCGAGCTAGACACCTAGCACAGCCCCAGCTTCCTGCCATCTGCTGATCTTCCTGGCTCCTCTCACACATCCCTCTTCACCTATTACCCTGGCAACTTCTGTGCATTCCTGCATTCCTACCTCTTCTTCCCATGATCCTTCAAGGCCCGGGGGGTCAAATGCCGTCTCTTCCACGGAAGCACCTCAGACTTCCCCCTTCCAGGAAGTTTTCTTCCTCCCCCACACTGTAGCACCCTCCTGTACCTCTGTCATCTCACCAACACTTCCTGGCTGGTATTAGAGGCACAGTCCTCGTCAGCAAAATTTAGATCTGAGGTACTACTAGCTACTGTGTGCCAAGAAGTGTGCTAGGACCGGAAGGATGAAAAACACCCAGTAAAAACTAATCCCACTCCTCAAAAGCTGTCAGTCCGGTAGAAAAGACGTGCGCATAAACAATATTGTTCCATCGTTTTGCAGCTTTTGAGACAGGAGAGTGGTCTTTCCTCATGGGTGGGTGGATCAGAGAAGACCAGAGAAAGAGGTGGCGGTTGATTTGGGTCACTTGGACAATTGTCCTGTGCTAGTCACTGTCCTGTCCCTGCTTAATGTTCCTGCCTGGTGCTCCATATGCCTGGCAGGGCTTGCTGATGCCCGGCTGTGTTCATGCCAGGATTCCAGAAGAGAGCCAGCCACCCAGCAAGCAGGTTAAGCCACTCTTCCGCCACTTCCGCCGGATAGACTCCTGTCTGCAGACCCGAGTGGCATTCCGGGGCTCCGATGAGAGTGAGTGTGGCCATTAGGAAGAGCAAGGCTTCTGTGGGTCGGGGTTGGGGGGTGCTCAGGGAGGTGGGCGGGGTCCATGGGCCTTCTGCACCCAAGGAAGCCAGCCCCTTTCACGGCATCTTCCCTGTCTGCACAGTCTTCTGCAGAGTCTACATGCCCGACCACTCCTACGTGACCATACGCAGCCGCCTCTCGGCGTCCGTGCAGGACATTCTGGGCTCTGTGACAGAGAAGCTGCAGTATTCTGAGGAGCCTGCGGAGCGAGAGGATGCCCTCATCCTGGTGGCTGTTGCTTCCTCTGGAGGTGAGGGGCAGCCCACTTGGCAGGGCTAAAGGCTAAATTCTAGCTCCTTGACACTCAAAGTGTCACCCTGGGTCCAGCCTTGGTGAGGGTATCACCTGGGAGACCCTACCCCAAACCTACACGATTAGAATCTGCATTTGGACCAGAAACCCCTACCCCCACCCCCAGGAGATTCCTATGCACATTTAAATCTGGGACACACCGGTTCAGAGCCATCGGGTTCTGGCCTGGGTGCTGCCTAATATCCAGCTGGAGGATTGTGTGCTGGTCATTCACACACACCCCTCCCAGCATCTTATATGCTCCATTTTTTTTTCTTCCCCCTGAAGACATAGGGGAGGCTCCAATCCTGTAGGGAGGCAGAGAACTAGCAATGTTAGCATAACTCCTGTGTGTGTGTGTGTGTGTGTGTGTGTGTGCTCGCTCGAGAGGGAGTATTCATGTGTGTGCACGCACAAGACAAGATCTAGTGTGTAAGCCCAGGCTGGTCTGGAATTTGCAGTCTTCTCTGCTTCGGCCGCCCCAGTGCTAGGATTTCAGGCATGCACCGTCACGCTCATCTAGCCTTATTTTCCATAAAGAAAAAGTATTCCGGTGTCATAGGGATGAAGGATTGAGAGATGCCCTACATACAGGGCGGAGTCTATAAATGCAAAAGAAATCATCTGACAAATTTCAGATAAAGATGGTATAGGCTGGCGATGACGCCTGTCCCACCAGTCTAGGACGTGCCAACACAGTGTTACCAGTTTCTGGACGGGAAGGGTGATGGTGTCTCAGGTATGTGATGGGTGTGGGTGGCCGAAGCTGAACAGCCTGTTCCTCTGCAGAGAAGGTCCTCCTTCAGCCAACAGAGGACTGTGTTTTCACCACGCTGGGCATCAACAGCCACCTGTTTGCCTGTACCCGGGACAGCTATGAGGCCCTGGTAAGAATTCCATCACCTGTCTTGGCTGGTAACAAGAGCTAGGGGGTGGGGACTGAGTCTCTCACTCTGCCACAGGGTGCCAAGTTTCTCTGACCCCACCTGCCAACCAGGTACCCCTTCCTGAGGAGATCCAGGTCTCCCCTGGAGACACGGAGATTCACCGGGTGGAGCCTGAAGATGTTGCCAATCATCTCACTGCCTTCCATTGGGAGCTGTTCCGATGTGTGCACGAGGTGGGACCAGAGTTCCATGCTGGGCAGGGGGTGTGGCAGGGAATGTGCTGTCGGGTGTCCGCTTTTGCAACAAGCAGGCCTCCTCGTTAGAGGACGCGCTCACAGCATACGTGTGGGCAATGTACGACCACAACCTTTATAGGCCTTTGTCCCCTCATCTGGGAAAATGTTGGCAAGCCTTTTCAGCAGAGTATACATACAGGGCCCAAGCACTGCTTATGCAGACTCTGAATTAGAACTCATGTCAAGATTCCTAAGAGTGTTTCCTGGACTGGGGAGATGGCTCAGGGTTAAGAGCACTGGCTGCTCTTCCAGAGGTCCTGAGTTCAATTCCCAGAACCCACATGGTGGGTCATAACCATCTATAATGAGATCTGGTGACCTCTTCTGGCATGCAGGCAGAATACTGTATACATAATAATAAATAAATCTTAAAAAAAAAAAAAGTTTCCTATTAGGCTGAGGGTGTAGCTCAGTTGGTAGAGTCCCTTCCTACCATGCACAAGGCCCTGGGCTCAACCCTCACCACTGAAGGAACCCAGCGGTGCATGCACGCTGGTAGTCTCAGCGCCTGGGAAACGAAGGCCAAGGGGTACAGAAAACCCTCTCTCAAAACAGCAGACAAAAAATGTGAAGGCTGGAGGGTTGGCTTAGAGGTTAAGCATGCCTGCCTGCTGCTCTTTTAGAGGACCAGTTTGATTCCACCCGTAACTCCAGCAACTCCAGCTCCAGGGGCTCTGATACACACACACACACACACACACACACACACACACACACACACAGAGGTAAACATAAAAGTCTTAATTCATTGTTGTTGTTTTTGAAACAAGGTCTCAGTATGTAGCTCTGCTTGGCCTGGAACTCGCTATGTGACCAGACTCAGAGATTGGCCTGTCTCTGCCTCTGAAGTGCTGGGATGAAAAGTGTGTACCACCATACCTGGCAAATTTACCTTAAGATTTATTTTATTTTCATGTGTGCATGTGTGTATGCGTATGTGTGTGTACATGCACGCGTACATGCACACATGTGAGTGCAGATGCCTACAGAGGCCTGAGACAGCAGATCCCCCTGAGCTGGAGTTACACATAGTTGTGAACCACCTGATGTGGGTGCTGGGAACTGAGTTTAGGTTCCCTGAAAGATCAATGCACATTTTTAACCACTAAGTACTATCTCCAGCTTCCTGCCTCAATAAAATCTTTTTCAGTTTTATTATTTATTTCTGAGTGTGTGTGTGTGTGTGTGTGTGTGTGTGTATAAGGTCACAGTGGTGTCAGATTCCCTGGAGTAATAGGCAGTTGTGAGCTGCCTGATTGTGGGTGCTGGGAATTTAACTTGGGTCCTCCGTAAAACCAATGTGTGCTCTTAATCAATGAGCCATGGCTTCAGCCCCAAAATAAGATCTTTTTGGGGAGGAGCGTTCGAGACAGGGTTTCTCTGTGGAGCCCTGGAACTCACAGAGATCTGCCCGACCCTGCCTCCTGAGTGCTGGGATTAAAGGTGTGTGCCACCACCACCTGGCCAAAATAAAATAAAGAGAGAGAGAGAGAGACAAAGAAAGAAAGAAAGAAAGAAAGAAAGAAAAAGAAAACTGTCTTCAGAAGACAGGAGCAGTTGTCTTCCAGAAGGGGATAACACAGACGTTAGCAAGTGCCTGGTACCTATGTGCTCACTAGGTGGGGAATAGTGTTAATATTAGTTGCCTCTGTTGCACCTTGTCCTGTCCCCACTTTCCTACTTTCCTGCCAGCTCACTCCTGTCTTTCCCTTTCCATGTGCTCTGTGCTGCCGTTTTCCCACCCACATCCTATGGCCCGGCCTCCCCTCTTTGGCTGTGGACGCAGCTGGAGTTCGTGGACTACGTGTTCCACGGGGAGCGAGGCCGCAGGGAGACTGCGAACCTGGAGCTGTTGCTGCAACGCTGCAGTGAGGTCACTCACTGGGTGGCCACTGAGGTGCTGCTCTGTGAGGCCCCTGGCAAGCGCGTACAGCTGCTTAAGAAGTTCATTAAGATCGCCGCCATGTGAGTGCTGCTGGCAGAGGCTGGGTAGGGCAGAGCCCCCAGCACCCCCTGACACAGCCTCCCTCCCACACAGCTGCAAGCAGAACCAGGACCTACTGTCTTTCTATGCTGTGGTCATGGGGCTGGACAACGCTGCTGTCAGCCGCCTGCGGCTCACCTGGGAGGTGAGGCGACCTCTCCCTTTTCTACCCTCAGTCCCACCTCAGGATCTGTGCATCTCGGGCTCTCTTTAGTGCAGCCTCAGGCTGCTGCAGCTACTTGGTGGGGAATCTCTGTGCCAGTGGGAAGCAGGTGCCCTCTTCTGGCCTCCGCTTCTCAGGACATAAGAGCTTTGTCCATGTCTTTGCAAGTCAGTAAAAAGCCAGAGTCCCATCCGAGTGGCCTTGCTATGGGCGTCTGCTGGGTCTCGGCCAGCACGCAATGGGAGCGCTTTTGTGCCTGGCTCCTGCGTAGGCAGAGGTCTCACTTTGTCCAGAATAATTTGCTCCTCCGACAGTTTCAAGCTCCCTGATTTACCCTTAGGGCTGACTCTATGTCCTATTGGCTTCTCCCCTCCTTTGCAAGATACACAAGCCTACAGCCCTCTAAGGAAGACTATGAAATTAGTCTCCCATGAAATTAGAGGAGCGCTGCTCTGACGTTTCTTTCTTTTCTCCCTTCCTTCCAACTCTCTTACAGAAGCTGCCGGGGAAATTCAAGAACCTGTTCCGCAAATTTGAGAACTTGACGGTGAGTGGAGTTGGCTTTCATCATCCCCTAGGGAATGGGAGACATCTTGGGGGGGGGGCACTGGGCCCATCTGTCTCTGACCCTTCTGTGGAATGCTAGGACCCCTGCCGGAACCATAAAAGCTACAGAGAGGTCATCTCCAAAATGAAGCCCCCTCTGATTCCGTTTGTGCCCCTGGTCCTCAAAGGTCAGTCGCTCCCAGTCTGTGCTCCTCACAGCCACATTCCCTTCTGCCACCGCCCCCAGGCCTGCCTCTTAGACCCCCCTCAGCCCACTTGCAAAGAACCCCTCCCCCACCCCACAGACTGCACGTGTCATGGTGGATGGGATGGGTTCCCTCTCCTGCTCTGCCCTCACATTCAGCTGTCTTCCTGTCCCCTAGACCTGACCTTCCTGCATGAGGGGAGCAAGACCCTCGTGGATGGTTTGGTGAACATTGAGAAGTTGGTGAGTTGGGCCCCCCACACACACACACACTGTCCTGTGAGCAAGCAAGCAAGGGGCTGTCTCCTCCCCCGCTCTCCTGTCATTTCCCCAAATAGCAGCCTTCCTCTCCTGGTGCCCAGCCTGCCTAACAGACTCCAGACTGTCTCCCTGGTGGCATGACTGTGCCAACCCACCCACAAGAGGCAAAAGCTGACAGGCAGCTTGGGGGTGGTTCAGCCTCCCTCTCTTGGTACCTTGGTACTCGTCCTTTGGCCCTTCCGAGGCCCCATCACTGGAGACTAGGGATGGACAGGAGGGCTGACTCAACTGAGGGTGAAGCGGGGAAGCGTGTGTCTGGGCCCTCCGCAGGGCTAATTGCTTGTCCTCTCCCAGCATTCAGTGGCTGAGAAAGTGCGGACAATTCGGAAATACCGGAGCCGGCCCCTCTGTGAGTACCTCAGCAGAACTGTGGCAGAGGAGGGACTGGGGGACCTCCATGCCTGTGTGTGGATTTCATTAGTTAGACTGGTCAGTTCTCCATTCTCTCCTGCTAACACCTGTCCTCTTTCATACCCCTTTGACCCGCCCTGCCTGCCATGCCTGTAGGAGATGGGGGGGTGCTGGGAGTCTGACTGCTCCTCCCTCCCTGTACCCCAGGCCTGGATATGGAGGCCTCCCCGCACCACCTGCAGACCAAGGCCTATGTGCGACAGTTCCAGGTCATTGACAACCAGAACCACCTGTTCGAACTCTCCTACAAGTTGGAGGCTAATAGTCAGTGAGAGTGGAGGGGCCCGGCCGCCTTCACGTCAGTCCCGGGCCCCTGGCCCTCAATGACCCACGTCGACAGACATCTTTTCCCTGGAGCCACTTCCTGATCCTACGAGGAGGAGTTGGGTAGCCTGCCAGGACGCATAAGCCTGTTCATCCTGCTGAGGTCCTTTTGCCATCACACTCAAGCTGCTCTGCTGGTTTCTGACCTCTCTGGGCAAGGGGCAACAGAGCACCTCTGTGCCCTCCCAGAGAGGTCTGTTCCAGAGATGGAATTTCTAGCCTCCACTTCCCAGGAGGAAGCACCCCCCACCCCCATCACAGCTGCGGTGTGGGAGGCACTGGAAACCTTCTTCCTGTTTCCCTGGATATACAGCCCCTAGGAGAGAGAGAGAGAGAGAGAGAGAGAGAGAGAGAGAGAGAGAGGGTGTGTGTTCGTTCATGTCCTGCTTTTAGGGAGCAGAAGCGCATCTGATAATGTCGGGAGGGTGTCTTCTTCCTGTTTCCCTGGATATACAGCCCCTAGGACTGTGTGTGTGTGTGTGTGTGTGTGTGTGTGTGTGTGTGTGTGTGTGT